TGAATTCCGTATATAATGGTGGGCTAAAGGTAGATTCCCAGCTGTTTTGTACAGTCACAACTCCCATAAAGATGTACCAGCCTTAGCCTTTTAGCCACCTACAATAAATTACCTTTCTGACAATGCCAACGTCTAACCTGACATCCTGCTTGTGAGTGTGACATACCTGCTCAATAGTAAGATTATGTTCTGGTCCTGTGAGGTATGGGGTCAAAAATGGTTCTGAAGGTCTCAAAAAGGTGAAAAAGCCATATATGCAGAGGATAAGAGTGGGGTATAACCAGCCACTGGGCATTGTTTTGCCACAGAAACTCATGCTCTCTTACTGCTGCCTCTCACGCTGCAAAGGAATCTCTCTGTGAAACATGCAGAGGAGGTTAAAGTACACAGACTGAATTAGTTGGGGGAGGAGCACTGCCATTAACATATTACAATTAGTAAGGAGACAATGCCTTCCAGCTTAAAGGACCGCTATAGGCACCCAGCTCAATGAAGTGGTCTGGGTGTCAGGTCCCCCTACTTTAAACCCTGCAGTTGTAAACATAGCAGTTTCAGAGAAACTACTATGTTTTCATTGAGGGTTAATCCAGCCTCTAGTGGCTGTCTACCTGACAGCCACTAGAGGCCGCTTTATGCGATTTACACAGAGTAAATCACACTTATTTGATGCTGGAAGTCCTCACTGAGTCCAGCGTCACAAAAGATCCCCATAGGAAAGCATTGAGTCCTGCTTTCCTATGGGCGGATTTGAATGCGCGCGCCTCTGGCTGCTCATGCGCATTCGGCTCTACTAGGAAGCTGACGTCAATGGAGGAGGAGAGGTCACCAGTGCTGAGGGAGCCCGGCGCTGGATTAAAGTAAGCAAATAAATGGTTAACTAACCATTTATTTGCCGCGGAACGTGGCCCTAGTCACCTAAATGGTAACTAGGGCTCAATAGCGTTAGGAATACATACTTGTATTCCTAACGCTATAGTGTACCATTAATTGTTCTACTAATACTGCTTGTTAATTACTGTAAATACTCAAATATTGTTAAGACACAACAGTAGTTGTAGTACACAACACTGCTAGATTGTAAATGCCTGTGAATTGGGTCTTCTTCTCCTCTTGTATCTCTGTGTGGGTAAACTAATATCTCTTGGGTGTTATCAAAATAATGGTGAGAAATTGAAACTTTAGTAGCTGTAATAGGACCTATAAAGTCCCCATGTCTGCCAGGCAGTGTCCCTGGTGTCTTAGTTTCCCCGTGTCTCCTAGTATCTCAGTGTTCCCATGTCTCCCAGTGTTCCTAGTGTCTGTGTGCCCATGTCTCCTAGTGTCTCCCAGTGTCTGTGACTGTAACGGACCGTTTTGCACAAAAGGGGTAAAAACCGTTTAGGCGATCGGCCCCCTTTCCAGAGATACAGGCACAGCTACTGCAGAACACCAAACTCCCAAACTGGATACAAAATAGCACTCCAACTCCCGAACTGGAACCTCCCAAATAGCTGCTAGCAGACGAACAGGAAAAGCAGACAATCAGCTTACACTCCTGGCAATCAGTCTCTAACAGCATACAGTGAATCCCCCCAAGAACGAGACAAGGCTCCGTGTTGAGGGTCAAGCAGTGGTCTGAGGTGCTGGCACACCCAGCCTGGTTTTTATTACAGTCTTGTAAATACAGGACCGCCCACAGGGAGGTATAAAACAACCAATCACATCACAGTTACATCCCACATATTCCCTCCCTTTATCCTGAGAGGAAACTCAATTACACATACAGTTAAAACATACTTTCTACCCAACTTTCATAACTCTAAAACCATACATCACATTCACATAAAATTACACATTCACAATCAATCCATTCAGGGGAACAACATATTAAAATATGGCCTGAATCAGACCAGGGGTTCAAAAGTTAGTAAAAAGTCCTTTGTGACTAAATGAAGCATGGCTTTCTGGCCCAAACCAGTTTCAGAGTCTTCTATCCTGGAGATAAGTAATTCAATTATCTCCCAGGATAGACACAAGACTCCATTAAGCACATGGTTGCAAAAAGACACAAAAAACACTTTAAAATACATAAAGTCACCTTTACACATAACACACAGACATTTCACATATCCCCAGATAGCTCAGGTCTGAGCGCACATTATTAAGTGAATGGCGCTCGGACCACACAAATACAGTTTAATCGCCATGGAGCCAAAGTCTTTACAGTCAGTTTCATACGAATGGGCTCCATGGGATTCCTATCTGGGGTATAACACATTCAAACAAATCTACCGAACCCCAGGCAGAAAAGCACGAATGAAGCTTTTCTGCAGGTAAAAAAAGATGTCTTTTAACAGGGGGCCATAGTCCAAAGGCAGCAGGCGAGCAACCAGGCTTCTCCAATGCAATGTGGCGAGATTGGTCTCGTCACAGTGACCCATGTGTCTAAGTGTCCCCATGTCTCTCATTGTCCCCTAGTTACATGGGGACATTTGGAGACATGGGGACACAGACACTAGGTGAGACTGGGCAACATGGGGACACAGAGACATGGGGACACTGGAAGACATGGGGCACTGAGACACTGTGATACATAGGGACACTGTAATACATAGACTCAGTGTCCCCTGGTGTCCCCAAGTGTCTCAGTGTCCCCTAGTGACATGGGGACACTGGGAGACATGGGGACACAGGGCGACATGGGGAAACTGGGCAACATGGGGACACTGGGAGCAATCAATCTATGCAGCAGAATCAAAGTGTAAGTAGTTTTTTGGTGATTTTACAGAATTTTCTCTTATGTCACTGCTTGTGATTTACATCATGTGATGTCACGCATACATAATTAGTTATGCAAATTAGTAAGGCCTCTATATTTTTCCCAAGAAAGGTGGCAGCCCTAACTACTCTTCACATACTCTTGCTTAAGTATGGAAACTTAAGAGGGATATATGGAAACAAAACTTGTGTGGACTGGCTGAAATGAAATTAGTTAAGGTAATGCTGACTTTGGTCTCTCTAACACTGTGGCATGTTCCCTTTCTTCCACACTCACTACATCCACCTTTTCTCTGTCTAAGACTGTATACCAGGAGTTTATGCCTGCTAGTAAGAAGCTAAGGAGACAAGTGGACATGTGAGTGCTAGGGGATAGTCTTTAGAAAGCATGGAGTGAGCACATCATTAGACGCATTTATGCGCTCAGGATGCTGTTGGCCAGCATGCATTCATGTCAAGCTAGGGAGACAAGCCTACTTTTTGGGCATGTTCGTCCATTTCGGGAGTTCTGGTTACATGATCCACGTCAGTGGTCCACCCTTTTACACCGCCCATTGACTTCCTGCTTCACTGCACACTGCTGTTAGAGGGTATGGATTTACTTGAAAGATGGAAGCATGAATTAGAGAGAGATTAGCATATTTTAAGAGAATCTGAGTTTTCTTATAGCTGCATCCCTCCGGCAACATCTCCACCAGATACATAACGCTTGAGAGGTAGGACTGTTTTAGGTCGCTAAGATTGTGTACTTAGGCCCCTCATAATTGTCAGCACCAGGCCCACTGGGCTCTTAATCTGGCCCTGCAGTCAGCCTCAATAGCAGAGCTGCACGAGCAGTTTTAAAGCCTGTGTGTGAGGCTGGACAGGCCGTGGAAGGGATCACTTCCCATTTGCCCACTAACAGCCTCTCACAAAGGAAATGCCTTGCAGGAGGAGCAGGGGAAGCTTTCAGTGATGCACACAGATCCTGAAGCTCTGTTTTTGCTCATTGCAAATAATCCTTCAAATGTCACATGCCGGAACCCTAATCCAGTGATGGCTAACCTTGATACCATAAATTGTTTCTGGACTACATTTCCCATGACGCTCAGCTAGCTTTCTAGAGTCTAAAAGCTAGATGAGCATCATGGGAAATGTAGTCCAGAAACAATTTATGTGTCAAGGTTAGCCATTACTGCCCTAATCACTCCTTTTCCCTAACCCTAAATTTATACCCTCCCAAAAACTAAATAAAGTGTTTTCTCAGCCCCAAATGTAACCACTCAAAGCATAAACATGGGGAAAAAACAACAACACCCCACCTGCCTTAAATAGAGTTAAAACTAACCTTATTTGCAGGGCTGTGCTAATCTGAGAGCGCTGGCTCCACCCCCTTGGCTGAGATTAACAGAATTAATGATCTCAGCCAATCCAATGCTTTTTCATAGGAAAACATTAGGAGACTATTGAATCAATGCATCTCTATGGGGAAAGTTTAGCACCTCCATGCATAGCGTGAAGAGGCTGAAGGTCAGTGCTGCATGTTTGCAGCACTGACCCAGGTAGCACCTCTAGTGGCTGTCTGAGTGACTGACACTGGAAGTGTCCCTAGGCAGCAATGTAAACTGCCGTTTTTTTTTTAATATAAAGGCAGTGTTTACATGAAATTAAACACTGCAGGGACATTAAATATATACACCAGAATAACTACATTAAGCCGTAGTTGTTCTGGTGACTATAGTGTCCCTTTAATTAAAAAAAATGACATACCTAACCTAACAATAAATATATTCACACTTTAGAATGTTCGTTTAACAGTACCGATATATTTAGTTTATTGCAAAAAAAACTGGTGGGGTGTTGCTCCAAGTGTTCGTATCTGTAATCCTCCACTGGGAATCCTGGGACAAAGTTATAAAAATCGAACTGTCAGCAGGAATATCCTGTAGGTTTCCCATTGCATTGATTTAGAACTTTGACCTGAAATGTTCTTTAATAATAAACATGTTTATGGCAAATGTTGTTTTGAAAGATTTATTAGTATATGTATGGAACACATAGATTAGGACATTGCGTAATAAGCTGTGATATCCTACTAAGGTTAAAAGTTATATATTATAGGTTTGTAGATTCCACATGAGCAGTGTGATGGAGTGAGGGTTCAATGAAATGGCACAGTAACTGGTGGGGGTTAAACTATAGGGATTGGGAAGAAATCCAGCTCTGGGAAGGATTTGAAGCTTCCTTGAAAGACCTGAGCAGACAGACAGACTCTCTATAAACATGTGATTGTGCGAGACAAACTGCAGCCGGAACTACTGGAAGCGGCTAGCGCTCCAGCGGGACTCTCAATGTGGTTACACCGCGCGCCCGGTCTCCATGGTAACCGTAGAAGGGCGGGTCCTGGCAGTTTGCGGTTGCGCGCTGGGTCTGTTTCCATGTCTCCATAGTAACGGCACGCCGTGTGCGGGATTTCAAGATGCGGCTGACGCGGTTTTTGCTCCGGTATTATCCGCCAGGTAAGAGGATCACAACAAAACCGGCACTCACCGCAGCTCACATACCGGTCTATACCGCAGGGGTTAATGCATGACATCCCCTGGGTATCGGTACCATACGGCAACGGTGCGGGTGGGAGAGACCCGGTAGTCATCAGCTAATAGGACATTGAACGTTAGGGGTTCAGGACTGGGGGACGGTTAGGGTTAGTGGATTCATTATTTGGGGTACAGTTAGGGTTAGGGGTTCAGGATTGGGTGACAGGGTTAGGAGTCGAGGATTGGGGGACAGTTAGGGTGAGGTGTTCAGAACTGGGGGACAGTTGGGGTTAGGGATTCAGGACTGGGGGACAGTTGGGGTTAGGGATTCAGGACTGGGGGACAGTTGGGGTTAGGGATTCAGAACTGGGGGCCAGTTGGGGTTAGGGATTCAGGACTGGGGGACAGTTGGGGTTAGGGATTCAGGACTTGGGGACAGTTGGGGTTAGGGATTCAGGACTGGGGGACAGTTGGGGTTAGGGATTCAGGACTTGGGGACAGTTGGGGTTAGGGATTCAGGACTGGGGGGTCAGTTAGGGTTAGGGATTCAGTATTGGGGGACATTTGGGGTGAGATGTTAAGAATTGGGGAACAGTTAGGGTCAGTGGATAAGGGATTGGGGGCCAGTTTGGGTTAGGGATCCAGAACTGGGGGGCCAATTGGTGTTAGGGGTTCAGGTACAATTAGTGTTTAATTAGGAGTACAGTTAGTTTTAGGGTTAGTTAAGTGCAGGGATTACGAGTACACCTAGGGTTAAGTATATGGTACCGTTTGGGTTGGGGCTTCTCTTGGGGTTTACACTATTGTTTGGACAACCGATACAGTTGGAGTTATCATTAGGTAGACAGTTAGAGTTAGGACAAGGGGTATTGTTAGGGTTAATGATTAATTATTATATAAGTAGCTTTTTTTTTTAAAGTAAAGATTATTTTATCTGGGTACATCTCTGTCCAGCTGGTTTAAAAGCATCACACAACTCCTAGTGAGCACCTGCACATTATAAATTGTTGGATATTCCCAGCATCATTTAGTTTGCAAGGTTCCATTTCTCAAAGCCATGGTAGAGGGGAATGAAGTGGCCTTGAAGCGAGGGTATCTTGTTATAACATTTTTCTAAAATATTTTCCAATCTCTTCATAGATAAAATATACTGTATATGTAGAATGATGATTAAGTATATAGGTACTAAAATGTGCCTTGTGATTTTACTGCACATTCCCAGGATTTGCAGCTTCTGCACGAAGCTGTCACTAACATACAAAATTAAGCCCTGTGCTCAAACTCCCACTACTCATGTAGAAAAGCAAAGACTATAGTACACATCAGGCTCAATACATACAAGAAAAACCACAACAAGTTACTTCTGCACTATCTCAAATCCCTATGCACATTTTAAATACAGTGGGACTTTGGTTTACAAATGCCTCGGTTAACATAATTTTCGGTTTAGAAATAAAAATCCATTGAAAATAATGCCTCGGTTTACAAATTTGTTTCGCAATACAAAGCAAGTTTTCCCAGGATACATTGCACCTGGGAGGTTTATAGCACCGCCCCCTGCATGCTGGAGCCTGTGGGTAGCACGTGGCGTCAAGTGTGGAGGTGTTGCTAACCTGCCACGTCAAAGGCAAAACCTCGTAGGTGAGTCCTACACTAACAATTCACCTTGCTTTGTTCAGCTACAAGGTAAAATCTCTAACGAGACAGAGAGGGGTATATTTTTTTTATCCCCTACACACGTATTAACCCTTAATAGGAACACATGGGGTCAAAGTAAGATCGCTGTGTAATACAAAAGCAAATACTAACATACAAAGTAAAGCCCTGTGCTCAAACATCCACTAGTCATGGTATCTCCCACTACTCAGGAAGCTCTCACTAGACTAGGAAGCAATTGAAATGTCTCCGTAAGTTTTCATGGGAGCCTTACGCTTATACCATAAATCTCTGCTACAGGTTAGTTTATGCAGCAGAGGAACTACCGCTGGTGTGGCTGCACCGGGCACCACACACTCAGGGGGGCAGCTAATGGAAAATTCAGGGACTCAGTCATGCGCTATGGCCATTTAACAGCAAGACCGGGCCCCTGTAATCTCGGCAATACTGGGAGGAAGTAAAGGCTGGTCACTTCCTCCCAGATAACACAGAGCTGTGGCGGAGGAAAAGGCAGAGATGAGGGGGCATTGAGCGGGAGAGACTCTGACTCCCAACAGCCTCAGGCAGCTGACTAAACCCTACAAATCCATCCTCCTGCACCCAAAAGGTACTAAACAGGAGGGTAGCTTATTTTGCATGTGTGTCTGTATGTGAATTTTTAGTGTGCCTGCACGTATGTTAATGCAGTGGTTTTATACCCTGGGTCTGAACCCATAATCTGTTCCAATCACAGTCATCAGACATCTGCAGATGTGAGTTGTTATATTGTAGTGGCATCATTCTATTTAGTGCAGGAAAGTGGTTTTTTTTTTTTTCCTCAAAACAAATTTTAAAGGGACACTCCAGGCCCCCAGACCACTTCTGCCCATTGGAGTGGTCTAGGTGCCAACTCCCACCACCCTTAACCCTGCAAGTGTAATTATTGCAGTTTTTATAAACTGCAATAATTACCTTGCAGGTTTAAAGGACCACTATAGTCACCCAGACCACTTCAGCTCAATTAAGTGATCTGGGTGTCAGGTACCTCTAGTTTTAACCCTGCAGCTGAAACTGCTATGTTTCACTGAGGGTTAATCCAGCCTCTAGTGGCTGTCTCACTGACAGCCGCTAGAGGCGCTTCCGCGATTCTCACGGTGAAAATCACTGTGAGAAGACGGTTGATGTCCATAGGAAAGCATTGAGTAATGCTTTCCTATGGGCGGTTTGAATGCGCGCGTGGCTTTTGCCGCTCATGCGGATCTGACATCGGCAAGGGGTGGAGAGTTCCCCAGCACAGAGGGAGCCCGGTGCTGGAGAAAGGTAAGTGGCTGAAGGGGTTTTAACCCCTTTAGCCCATGGGTGGGGTGGCCCTAATGACCCTATAGTGCCAGGAAAACGAGTTTGTTTTTCTGGCACTATATATAGGTCCTTTAAGTCCTCTGATAGACAGTCACTAGAGGGACTTTCGTGTTCTTAGAACACGAAAAGTGTTTTAAAAACGACGCTGGACGTCCTCACGCTATGCATGAGGACCTCCAGCATCGCCGAAATCCCCATAGGAAAGCATTGAATAATTCTTTCCTGTGGGGAGGTCTAATGCACGCGTGTGGCCATTGCCGCGCATGTGCATTAGGTCTCCCTCGCCGGCTGACGTCAGGCATTAAGACTATAGTGTTAGGAATGCAGATATGTATTCCTAATGCTCCAGGGTCCTTTTCATTTAGGAATACCCACGGCAGTCAAGTTGACAGCCAGGAAGATTTCCTGGTTCACTCCGTGTGAACTATTGTTCAAGGGGAAGTAACAATCTCGAGTTTTCACAGAAAAGCATTTTACCGAGTTATTGCTGCATTTGTGGCAGTTGCTCTGAATGTGCCAATTTCATCCAGAGAGGAAGAGGACACTTGTCATTGACCGTTTTCTGGGGCTGGCACAGTGTAGTAATGAGAGAGGACTCACCGATGGTGAAAAAATTTATTATTATTAAAATGCATTTTTCAAACATATGTGCATGGAGTGGGGGCGTATGATGTTACAAGAGTTAAAGGAACATTCTAGACATTAAAATAGAACATTGTTTTCCTTTAAACACAAACATTGTGTTGCCTTAAACACAAAGACAAATCATAATCAGGGTTATTTACTAAAGAAAGAGTTGTCTGGAATTCAACGTGAACGTTGCGTTTAAGTCCAAAATAACTTTGAACAGCAACACTGGATCTCCAAAGGGAATGAACATCCAGACTCGAGCAATTAAGTAAAAGTTCATATTTTTTTTTCATCTGATAATAAATTTGTCCGAACGGCATAGTGACAATAGCCAGTGTCAGTTTTGCTGCCGGTTTGATTATTTTGACCTTAAATTTGAAATTAACTTTGAACTCCTCAAAAAAATCAAATTTTTGTAAATAACCCTGCATGAATATTATTATACAACAAAACAAGATTTAAGGAACAAGCAAAGTCTATGAACTCCCAATTTATTACTTGTTTGTGTTTGATTAGAGTCTCCCAAAATGTGTTGTTATTTTTTTTTCTTCCAAAAACTGCAGGCCACAAAGTACCCATATTTAAAAAGTCTGTGTCATTAAAGGATTACTCCAACCACCATGACCACTTCTGCCATTAGAAGTTGTCTCTGTGGTAGGAAGCTGTATGTGTAATGTTTCTGCACTTTTGTGCCAGGGCTAGATGTACCCTCGGCATATGTGACTTAATGTGCAATTCTGTGCAGAAATTATGTATGTCGTCTGAGCACACTGGGTGCTGGCCACAGACGTTTTCAGCTTATTCTCTTGTTTGCAGCGCTGGGAGCTCATCTGAATGAGGATGCTTGATTTCGCTTCCATGCCTCCCTATATGTACAGTTATAATTATTTATTTTTGTAATAATCCCCTTCCTCCCCTGTCCATCCCATCCCCTCACTGTCTCAGAGCACACACAAAGCTGGGGAAACGGCCCAATCAAATGCTCCGCTATGAGAAGCATTTGATTGGATCGCACGAGGGAGGTAGTGTTGTCAGATGGGGTGCTTCGCCTTGCATTGGATTAAAGGTAAGGTGTGTGTTTGTTTTTTTTGTTTTTTTATTCTTTGGTTTTAATTTTATAACAATGTGCTGAGTGTTCTTATGTTTATAAGCTTATACAGATACTTTTGTTTATTCCAGTGGTTTCTAATACCGTCATCATGACCCAGCAACAGACCAGGTTTTGTCAATATCTTCAATGGAATAAAAAAGGGAAATACATAATCCTGGATTGTTGGTGGGCCATGGGGACTGGTTTTGCAACCACTGGTTCATTCCAATAATTTGCTGGCAGCTAAGATTTTAAAATATATTTGATAACATTTTTTATTTATTTCTCTTGTTCCAGGTATAATTTTAGAGTATGAAAAGGGAGGAGACCTGAAGACCAAGTCAATTGATTTACTCGAACTATCTCCCATGTAAGTCACCATTATATATGTGCCTTTGTAGACATCTTGTGGAATTTCTGTAAAAATGTAAATCATGGGGTTATATATAAAAAGCAACTGTGGTGCACTATACTGAAAGTGGAGCACTGACATTATATCACTTTGCATTGCGAATGTTACACCTATTAAAAGGTGGAGAGCTTTGGAGACTGCTATGATTAAATTATGTACCATTTTGCTTTCTAAACTCATTTCAAAGTACAATGTCTAGTTATATAGTTCAGTACTAGCAGCAGTTTCATTCTCAAGCAGTGGAGAGAAGCCTGCTGCTGTATGTACCAGCTTTCCAATAATCAGCTGTATTTATCAGCTTTCCAATTGTCCCAGGTTCAGCAGGACCAGCCCAAATTCAGTTCTCTCCTGTTGTCATGCTATGTTTCCTGAAGCCGCACATCTTGGTGTGGGCATGGGACCACCGAGCCTAATGTGTACCTATTACCTACCTGCCACATAGAGGGTGGTGGAAGGTGTAGGGCTAGTCACTGGATGCCTACCAAGTTATTATTACCTTCTTCTTTTTGTTGGGTATCTCTTGTTAATTGGGGGGACTTTGATGTTTTTGGAGGAGAACCTTCCTCTTTCCAATCAAAGCAAGAGGAAGATCCTCCAGAGCGTACTTTCAATTATTAGATCCCCTGTTTTCTAAATCTTGTAAATTAGTCTTTAACAAGCCTCTTGTTGTTTGTAGGACTAATGTAGACTCTCTAGTATCGGAAATCCAGAGAGCTGAGCCACTGATCACAGTCTCAAGGACCCAGCAAGTAAAACAGCTCATCCTGAGGCTTCAGGAAAAAATTGCAAAGCAGGATCACCACAAGTTTTATCTCTTCAAGGTCAGTGATATGTTATGTACTCACATCCTCCATTGATAAGCCTGGGTGCCTCTTACCTCTCTCTCGCTCTTTGTTTTTCTATAGAGTGCTCATGGCCTTTATTAGTAGGATGTACAGAGTTTAGAGTTATAATGTTTTATTGCTCACCTGTTAATTCGTCTCATAAGCCAGCATGGTTATAACTGTGGACCATGGAAAGGCATAGTTGGAGTTCTACAACAACTTTAACCTTTTGACCAACTTTGCCATTGAGCCTTATAGACCATACTGGGAGCCAGCATATCTGGAAATAACTAGTGGTGTTATAATATTACCGTGTATTTAAAGCAGGTGCTGAATGCTTGATACCATGTTAAGCGTTTATCCAATAAATGATTAATATTCTAATTATTGGGTTCATTGATGTCACAACCACACGTATTATTAGCTCCCTCACAAATAAATTCTACTTAATCACTTTGTCATTCACTCTCCCACACAAAGTACATGGTCAGCACTGATATACAGTCTACTTTACTAGTGATAAATTAAGCTTAGGGCTAGTTCTAGTATCTTGTAAGGAAACTGAAGGCACTCAGATATCTTTATTTATTTTTTAATATTGATTTGTTACAGAAATTATACCAAGGCATTTTAATCAAGTATTAAAAAAAATTGATTTAAAAGCCACGCATTCCCTTTCTTGTGATGTTTTCTGTAGTACCTATATTTGCACAGTAGAAGGCTCTGTTGTTCTTCTGTAAATTCCAACAAACTGCATTCAGTTATAATATCTATATCAATAGTTTTTTTTTTTTTGTCTAATAATGTGTTAATTGGTTAAATTGCCAGATAGTAACTCTCTGGTTCCGCATGTGACCCTTCAGAACTTCTAGGTCAGATGGTCCTAAAGTAAATATCTAGGATTTTAAAGGGTCATTGGTTCCATAGCTCATTAGTGTCTTGTAATTAATCAGTGAATCATCTGTGGCCTAAATGACAGCGACAGCTGTAACATGATCACATGTACTGCTAGACTTTGTATAATCTTATACAACTGGTTATTATTATTATTATTGCCATTTATATAGTGCCAACGGATTCCGTAGCGCTTTACAATATTTTGAGAGGGGGGGTGTAACAATAAATAGGACAATTACAAGAAAACTTACAGGAACAATAGGTTGAAGAGGACCCTGCTCAAACGAGCTTACAGACTATTGGATTAGACTTGTTATTGTGTTAAATACCTATAAGTAAAGAACTTGGCATCTCCGTTTGTAATAGTGGAGAAAAAGACTTTGCTGTGGTTTAGAGATGAAAGCTAATTATCTCACTAAGCAGCAGGGATAGAAAAACATGTATTGTTCTGATATATCTTGGATTGTCAGGTTTGTCACTTCACTATATTTTTTTCTTTTACATTTTACATTTACATTTTTTAAAAACACTTATGAATTCTCCAGTCTGACAGGCAATTGTTGAGTTTGCTGCCCGACAGTGTGTGGGATTGATGAACTCCCTGTGTCAGATCAGTTGACGGATCATAGCCAGGATCATTTTTTTTTTTCTCATTTTTATCGAGAAAAATGTGCCATTAAATTGAATCTTGCTGGAATACTAAACAAGAAATCCCCAATGGTCTGGTTAATTCTAGGTTTTCAGAAGCCATGGAAAATAAAGTATCTGTTTAAAAGACCAGTAAAAAAATTTCACGTAATGCCTTCATGGTTCTTTAGGAAGTGAGGGGGTAAATCAAATTTTCTCTCTACGAAGTGGCTATTATTACCAATTTGCTTCTGTTGTGCAGAAGGACTTTAATCTACCACTCGATATCTGCTTTAATGTTTCTGGTTACAGTAGTGGAAATATGTGAAACGTAAGAGATTAATCACAATAGCAACACTTCCAGTGTTGAATTATTAATTACACTAATAATGTGATGTAGAGTGGGAGCACAGCTGGTCCTGCGTATTATCATTTGTACACTCAGAGCCGAGTTTACATATTTAAAAGGTCACTCCAACCTGTCTTTATAATCTTGTTATTTTAAGTCATAATGTCCTATTGGGCATTCTTCTTTAGGCCCCTCTCTTTAACCCTAAAATAACTAATAAAAATAACATTTCTGAAATCCAGAGCTGGGCAAAGCTCCTAGCGCTGCCCTTAATTCCCATCTGATGTCACCGTAGCCGTTGTGAAGCCCAATCAAGTGCTCCTCATAGAGAAACATTTGATTGGACTGGCTCAGATTTATTCTTTGCACAGAATAGATATTAGGCAGATTGTAACTCTAAGTCACCTGTGCTGGTAGGGCAAGTAACCTTCGGATTTATGTCAGTAAGTTCTTCTGCAGTTACTTTCACAATGTCTTCACTTTTCTTTCAATTTAATCTGTAATGTTTTGGATTCCAATGCTTTTTTTGATCCATATACTACTCCTCTCAAACTATGCTGCTCTCCTGCTCAACCTCATTAAAAAAAGAGAAAATGGGAGGGTACTTTGGGGTCATTTATATGCACATCTTCATGTTGATTGGATGATTTTTATTTAATTTATTTTTTATTTATTTTTTTACTAGTTGCATTAACTGTTTTTTTTGCTGATGGAAGTTTCAGTAAAGAAGGTAATGCAGCTATTAGCCTCCTGTCTTTAATACAATTTTGATTATTCATTCACTAAGACTAGAATAATCACAGCTGGACATGTAGTGAAGGAAGATAAAATATTTGCCATTATGCGAATGATTAACATCTATGTAGCAATGTATACCCATGGATAAAATTTACATAAATTTATATGCTTTTTCTTAATTTCAGGTTCTGCGAGCACACATACTACCTCTCACAAATGTGGCATTTAATAAATCTGGCTCAAGGTAAGAAAGCATGATATTTCAAATTATTACTAATGCTGTGATGTGTACACCACCTGTGGTCTTCCATTAGTTTAATATCAAACCATGTATGAATAGTTTGATATGAACCAGGCCTCTTCCCAGCCCCAAAGGACACATTTTTGCAGTTTTTGTGGCGACTTTAGAGCAGACCAAATAGAAGAGTTGGAAAAAAAAATCTCAATCTCAGCTGGAATTAATATGTATCTAACTTTAATATTATAACCTGAATTCTGCAAATCTGTTCTCACAAAACATTTCCTTGTGAGTAGTCCCCATAGAATACCCTTTTTTTGCTGTGTTGCTGGTGAGAAAATAATAATAATAATAATAGCCGTGGCATTTGACATTATGTTGCTGACGGTATTTTGTTTTGCTGTGATAACCGTGATTTGTTACTTCTTCTTAGCTTCATTACAGGAAGCTATGATCGTACCTGCAAAGTATGGGACACTGCATCTGGAGAGGAACTTCACACCTTGGAGGGACATCGAAATGTGGTCTATGCCATTCAGTTTAATAATCCTTATGGGTGAGGACACTTTAAAAATCTAATGTCACTGTTTATAGAAATGTAACTATTCGTCATATCACCACACACATACAGAGTCATGCTTAAGTCTCTCTATCAAATTAATTTCAATCAGCAATATATTACAATAAATTGACCATGTCTGTATAGAGCTAATTTTCCTAGGCATGTAGCAATGTGAATTATGTCTGTATAACAAATACAGATATACTTTGCAGAAAATGTCATGTATTTGTAGGATATCTCCTTGCAAAATTCAGACTCTTGGGGTAGGAATAAAACTCCACTCTACATTAAAGATAAATTGTATTTGTGAGAAGGCTTTTGAAAAGACGTAATAGAAGATGCATACTAATATGTTAAGCCAGGAATATGAAAACCATTTGATAGAGAGAGAGCTGGACATAACATAATTGCTTTAAATGACACATATGTAAAATATCAAATATGGTAGAAAGCCATAGTCAGATGGCCGATCCCTGTCAAATAACCCACATAGTCAGCCTATTCCTTTGCTTGGGGAGAGCTTTGTAGTGTGGGATATGGTGAGTACCATAATGGGATGCGCCTTGCTGCCTCAATACATTTCCGCTCCAGCCTGAGGAGTTAAAAGGTTCCAGCACCCAATGCCCACTGACCTCGCTCCTTGGGATCAGGTCATAGTCCCAAGGAAAGGTCTCATAAAGCAGTGGACCTCCCGAGTGTGCTGATGGTGTTTGGGTGTAAGATTACTTGTGGCTCCCTGTCCAGCTAAAGAGTAGCGAACCGAGGCTCTACAAACTAGAACTGGCTTGGCATGGGGTGTATGAGAGAGCTAGTTGTTGTAGTTGATCTCTGAGGAGCTTCCAGAATCTAATGCAGAGGTTATCAAATGCCATATGGATTAAATTTTCCTGTTACTGAATAGTCTCAACCTCCATTACTTGTGCAGAATCACAAATGGTAAGGAGGAGATGCAGTTATAGAATAATTGATTATGGTGCGAGAGTGGAGGGGAAACACTCAATGGGATAAAGGGAAACTTGTAGACAATGAGGGAAAAGTAGAAGAAGAGCAACACGTGTTTTGTTTGTAGACACTTTTATAGGTCTGTTACTTGATTTCTGCAGCAGACTGCGCACTCACAAAGTTAGTCTGTGTGAATTGTCAGAAATTAAAAGTTTAGTTCAAATTGTAGGCTAAAATTGACCTTGAAAAACTCTCCAGCTCGTCTATTGGAACAATCCTTGAATATGTCAGCTATGTTTACTGTTTGGCTATTTTAAACTAAAATGTCAAATTCACAGTTTAGTGAAATACCCTGTGAGGCTCGATTATGTTCACCTTCACTGGTCAGATCTGGTTTAGATCTCCACTCTGCCTAGAAGTGTAGAATAAGTGATAATAAATTAGATTTCACTTGAGTTTTATCTGTGACAGTAAAACCGTTAATGGTAGCATCTCTCTAAGTGTATTCTCTTTCTGTGTCTTTCTCTTTTGCCAACGCATTTTTCTTTCTGTCCCACAGAGATAAAATTGCCACTGGATCGTTTGATAAAACTTGCAAGTTATGGAGTGCTGAGACAGGAACGTGTTATCATACCTTCCGAGGCCATACTGCAGAAATAGTGAGTGCTTACTAAATAGTAAACTACAAATGGTTGCATATTATATTCCTCTGTGAAGTATATCAGACCGTAAGGCCCATAGAATACATGCAACCTCTGTTATTCAGTGCTAACTTAGACTAACTTGTGTACCAAGTAGTATTGGGTTACAGTGATTATGGTGCTTGGATTGTTCCTTCAAAACTTGATAGTGAATGCAGTGAATCTCAGGGGGATGAATGAAAGTGACTGAATTTACTATCACAAATTTGTCACTTAGTGAAAATATCCCAATGCCCGGTAAGGACCCCGATGCCTTATAAAGAGAGGGTAGTGGTGGGAGCTAAGAAGTGCTATGTACTCCACAGACCTAATACACTTTAGGTCATTTCAATTGCAGATTTGCAGATTTGGAAAGTGATTTCTATTTGAAATTGGCTCTTTTTATAAATAATTTCAGAAATATTTTAATGGCAGTCAATTAGACAGCCAAGGAGATGATTGTCTTCCTGATTCCTTTAGCTCCACAGAATTAACAGAAGTGGCATGTGCTCAGTTTACCTCTGTGTACTTGAGTTCTCCCTGCAACCTCCCTGGCTCTCTACTGCAGATTAAAGGGACACTGTAGGCACCCAGACCACTTCTGCTCATTTTAGTGGTCTGGCTGCATTGCCCCTCTCCCTTTAGCCCTGTTGTCAAAACACTGCGGTTTTGGAGAAACCGCAGTGTTTTGATTACAGGGTTATCCTCGCCTCTAGTTGCTGTCTCTCAGACAGCAGCTAGATGGTGTTTCCGGATTCTTACAGCACCGAAAAGAGTTTTAAATGATGTTCGACGTCCCCACGCTCTGCATGAGGATGTCGAGCGTCGCTGGAATCCCCATAGGAAAGCATTGAATAATGCTTTCCTATGGGGAGGTCTAATGCATGCGCGCGAGGCCATTGCCGCGCATGCGCATTTGGTCTCCTCTGACAGCAGGCGGCGGGGGAGGAACATGGGCGGAGCTGAGCCAGCGCCGAGGGACATTGGCGCTGGACCCAGGTAAGTGACTGAAGGGGTTATTAACCCCTTCAGTGCCATGGGAGGGGGCCTTGACAGTAGGGGAAGCTACAGTGCAGTTTGTTTTCCTGGCACTATAGTTTCCCTTTAAAATCAGAGGCTTCTCAATGAGTGCTTTCAAGGGGAGAGCTTGCTAAGACTGTAGACAAGAGATCTTCAACTTAAGCTGGTTTTAGATACACACCCAATGAAAAAATTCACAATTTATGCAGTATGCATGCATGTTTTCATTGTATTTACATCTACTAAACGGTAATTTATTTATTGTGTAATTTGGCGTGTTCCTTTAACAGCATCTGTCCCAATCTAACGTAAACTTTTAAATATAAACTAACCAGCCAACACAGTTCTCATTAGTATTAGCCTTTACAAATCTTATGCAGATTCTAGGGATAAAGTCAGACAGCACATATACAATGATAGATTAACTGTTAACAAAACACGTACAAACTCAAAATTAACACAAGCTATGTGTATATATGGTATTTTTTGACATATATATATAAAATCATTTTTATTTTTTCACGTCTTCAGAGATTGACAGGAGCTGTAATAATTTAAATCATGTTTGTTTTCCAGGAGGCTGACAGAACCAATTTTCCACTATTAATTTCCCTCTGTACCTTGCAGCAAACCTCAAATAAAAAAATAAATAAACCATAAAATCACAAACAAAATTCACTCTTCAGGTTACTTAGATCATGGCAAGGAGGATCCTTTCCAATACTTATATTGTGTTTGTGGTGCAGAGTCTTTGGATGTTTTCCAGTTTGCCCTCCATTCCCCACAAACAAACTAACCAACCATCCAAACAAACAAGGCTACTCCTGCAGCCAAAACCTTGTACTCTATGCTGCCAAAAGCTGGTGATCCTTGGACTGCAGAGATAAGCTGTCAGCTTTGGGCTAAGCTGTCCAAACTTACTGTAAGTGAAACTTACTGGCAAAGCTGAAGGACCAGGCTTTGGTTGCCAGAGAGAGACTTTTGTATTTGTCTTATTGCTCATAAACAGTTTGTGAAATAATAGAAAATATGCAGAGGCTCGTTGCAGCATAACCACTGCAATAAGCCTTTGTGATTGTGATTCAGAAGATTGCCAATGCCATAAAGCAGTAATCCTAGCAAAGACCCTTTACTGCATATTAAAACAGAAAAACATATACATGCAAACTACTGAACCTTTCATAGACCACAAAGCTCATGCAGAATTCAGTGAACACATTTTTTTTGAAGGTAACCAGTTCATCACCCCTATCACTCAGAACAAGTACACGTTCTAAGCCATAAAGCAAAAGCTGCCTAGCTGTCAATAAGTTAAAACTTAATGCTGCAATGTAGAATGGCAATTGTTAAGTATGAGGTAAAGTAAAAGAGATTGTGTAGTGAATAGCACTTTTGGTGTCACATATCGTTATGCATTCTGAGACAGTGGCATTCTGAGCTGACTAGTCTTGGAGTCCCTTTGTGGCAGGTCTTTTGACCTATTGATGTGCCTTTCTGGCCACTGCTAGTGGCGGACCACTGGTGAGTGCATTAATCACCTTATCTTTTATCATTGTATCTAACAGTTTTACACTGTCTTGTTTTATGTTAGTTTTTAAGTGATTAAAAGCTGGAATATCATTTCCTAACTGGAGTATTACCAGTATTTTTCGGGAGACCGATAACCAGTATGTATATTATCTCTTTGGTGAGCCTCACACATGTAATTGTAGCACACCACACTACTTATTTTGCCTTTTGCATTCTGAGAAGAAAGGTATTGTATGTTCACTAACCTGTGTTTGCCAAAACATGTGTTCATGTGGGGTAACAGGCTCTATTTTGACCACAGTCTGTAAATGCACACATTGCGGACCCTCTGTATCAATGGACAATGTCGCATTCATTGAAAACATCTGGTGGCTCTCTGAACCGTGGGATTCAGATGCATTTTACGGACTAATATCTCAGGAGCGCTGTGAGCTGGGTTACACTTGATTTATTCACTGGGTGCTCATGGCTGTGTTTTGTGTTTCCAGGTTTGTTTAGCCTTCAATCCTCAAAGCACACTGGTAGCAACTGGGAGTATGGACACTACAGCAAGACTGTGGGACATTCAGAGCGGAGAGGAAGTCCTCAACCTGACTGTGAGTTGGTGATATGTAATAGATATGCTCTGGCTTGGAATGGGTTAAGCGTGATCCCTTTTTATTCTTATGATGTATTTTGCAGCATATAATAGTATAACATTCTGTACACCAAAGCTGATTTTATTAGTCTTCGACACAGGAGCTTTCATTATATACGAGCTCCATTAAAAAAGGTAAAACAACTTCTCCATTTATCTTCTCCCCACAAGCACCTTTTTACGGTTCCATTTTATAGCCATACATGCGTCCTCCTCAGTCAGCCTGGAGGTGCTGGGAACATCTAACATCCATTTGTACCCTATCAAAGTAATGGAGAAATGTTTGTCTGAATCTAACGTTGTAGAGAACTGTGTGTTCTTGGCTGCTGGAAGCTCACCATTTCTGTCAATGTAACAATTGAGCTGTAATACCAACCTTTCTTCATTCCCGCTAGTTTATTTTAATCCTCCGGCTCACTTAGCTATGCAGGTTTGAGAATTCTGAAATGTTACATTATCTTTACAGTAGATTTCATAAGATAGCTGTCTGGAACGTACTGCAGATTACAATTTGTTATCGAAACCAATTTATGTCTTTTGAATGATAAATATATATAATTGAAGATTATACTAGCGTAGTGTACTAATAATTTTAATAATGACAGGAGGCTAGTATTTTGCATTAACTTTCTTTACTAACTCCATAGCAGCAAAGAAAAACAGGTGAAATAAAGAACCAATCAGAACACAGAGTGTAAATAAGTGAAAGCATATCCAGAGCACTTCCTCTTGACAAATGCGACATCACAAGTCCATAACGGATAACTTCGTACGAAAATCCAACTTTAAACTTGAAAACGATAAAGGAAACAAATTCCACCCATAGGCGCTGATGACTAAGTAAACTGAAAGAAAAGAATCCTGATTCCTGCCCAGGAATCCCACAGCAGATCTTTAGTTGCTGACGATAAGTCGTTGGTACACCATGCACCCCTGTCCAGGTGACTAAAGACAGTCGTCCGTTCAGGAGCATAGGATGTGGGTTCCCCACTGGGTCCCGGAGGAGTGTTGGGTCGTCCGGCAGGAGAATTGGATCCTCGCAAGACATGTCGAGGAGGTCTGGGAACCAGGGTTGGCTCGGCCATAAAGGTGGCAGAAGGAGAATCGTCACTTCTCCTCTCCGTATTTGGTGGAGTACTCTCCAGCAAAGCTGGACTGAAAAACTCAAGAACACCGAGAGCCTCTTCATGATGGGAGTACATCCACGGCTAACAACACCAACAAGATGGCCGCCGTGGATCTCGCGAGAGCCAGGGCTAAAATGGTGTTAAAAACCCACAAAATGCGTTCGCGGGAAAACATACGAAAGTAAAAGGGAATGTTATTAGACGTGAACTGAGAATTCCACGAAGGTCCGTTCGCGTAAAATGACCGAATGCTGTATGTGAACGGGAAACCCTGTGAACTGCCAATTCGTGTGCAAGCCACCGAACGCCATGCACAAGAATAGGCACGAATGGGAAAAAATACGTGCCTAAATGCACGAATCAACAGAATTCCCTGCCCAAACGCACTGAAGTCAATGCGAACGGTGCAGGAAAAATTAGGAAAGTGGTGAATGTAGCCACAGGGAAGGCAGGGAATAGACCGTTTCAGGGAAAAGAGGGCCTGGGGAGAGAGGGGACAGAACCCCAATAAGAGAAAGAAACAGCCCCACTAGAAAGGCGGAGATGAAGGATAGCCCCCTGTCCCCCCCACAGGAAAGTAAAATAGTAATCACATACAATAAGTACAGTTTAAAACCGAGGCATAGAACAAGTTCTCTGACCTGACTTGTGATGGAACAGCAAAGAAAGAGGAAGTACACTGGATATGCTTTCACTTATATACACACTCTGACTGTGTTCCTGTTTTTCTTTGCTGCTGTGGAGTTAGTAAAGAAAGTCAATGCAAAATATGAAGCCGTCTGTCATGTGGTAAAATTGTATCTTACAATTTCCTGAACTCTTACTGCCTTATTGTGCAAAATAATAAGAAAATACATTTGCAAACATCATGTGAAGGATAATAATGATTGATCTCCCAATTGTATCTCTTTAAACAGCAAAATAATACCCACTGCTAAACTTCCTGTTATAGCTGTATTTTATATACATAAAGGCTTATAAAATGCACCAAAAATAAATATAATAAAAACACACATACACGCGCTCATATATGCCACAGACTGGAAGCCAAGATATAGGCAACATGTAAGGAAGTTAGTAAGCTGGATAAACTTCACAGAGGTGGTGTATTTCCTGGCTACTGAGGAAATACAAGGGTATACCCATACCAGAGACACTGAAATCAAGTAAGCAAAGACTGGCAACCAGACTGAGCAGATACACTAGAGAAGCAGAGGCTAAGCGAAGTAAATGCTCTGTTTACCAAAGAGTCATCCAGGTGTATGCACAGCTGCAGGGTAACCACAACATATCCATCTAAGACCCCCACAAAGTGCACTGAGACTGAACAGTACTGGGAGAACATCTGGTAGAAAGAAGCATCACATATCTCCAAGGCCCAGTATCTACTAGACCTGAAAGCATACCACTGAATGCTCCCAGAACAGGAACCAGTCACCATCACTGTAGGAGATATCGAACAACGACTAGCCCACAGGAAGAGTTGGTCAGCCCAAGGACGTGACATGATCCACACCTACTGGATAAAGAAACTAACAATGCTACATGAATGCCTAGCAGCCCAGATGAACCAGTTACTACCAACACTGTGACTGGCTAACACAAGGAATTACAATACTAGTCATGAAAGACCCCCACAAGAGAACAACACCATATAACTGCCGTCCAATCACCTGCCTCACCACAACATGGAAGGCTTTGTCAGGCATCATAGCCCCCAAGACCGATGAGAATATGAATCCGTAAATGAGCAATACTTAAAAGGGGTTTGAAAACAACACCATAGGATCAAAACACCAACAGCTGGTAGACCAAGCCGTCACAAAGGATTGTAAGACCAAACTGACCAATCTGTGCACAGCCTGGATTGACCACTACTACTGTTTGAAAAATACAGGACTGAAAGACAGCGATGAAGCACTAATCCGATCAACACAGGAACAGGCACTCAGCACCAGATCAATAGAAGGAGGGGTCTACAACACCAGGTAGACCCAGGTTACAGACTGTGCAAAGAGGCCTCTGAGACAATAAAGCACATAGTAGCCAGGTGCAAGATGTTAGTAGGGGCAACATACACTGAGAGACAGACATGGTCATTAAGTGAGGGACGATTGAAAGAGAAACTTATGGGAGGTATATAGTTTTCTCCTGCAAAAACTCCACGTGTTAAAACCCGTTTTTACTATTAGCCCAAAACGTCAACAGAGAATAAGTCATAAATAACTCCATTAAACATGTCTATATTCTTGTAATTTTCTCCAAGTTGGAAAAATGGATTTCCTTGCTAATTTAACTAAAATATGGTTATTTTAGTATTCACTTCAAGTTTATATAATTGTGAAACAAATGATTTTATTCAATATAAAGTGAGTTATGGATAGATACTTGACAAGCTGCTAAATTGCCAATTTGCAGAATGTATTCTTTAATTTTTTTTAAAAATTTTTTTTGATGAATAACTCCCAAAATGTAATGCGTTTTTTTGGGTGGGAATGAAATGGCACGTTGTTATCTTTGCTTTCTGTTATGATATATATGGTTAATAGGGTAAAACAGAGTGTTTGTTTGTTTGAAATCAAAGGATTATCCTTCCATAAAAAATTTAACTGGAGAATTACTTGAAGTGAGTATTCGGATTGAATGATTGCTCTGTTTCCCCCCCCCCAACATGTTACATTAGTCAATAAAGGTCTGTAGGTTGCGATAAAATGTTTTTCATAGTTCAGCAGTTTCTCCATATTGATTAATGTAAAGATGATTTTCGGTGACAGGTGCCGTTTAACTCCTAGGTTTGCTGTTTATTTGCAGGGTCATTCAGCTGAAATAATTTCATTGTCATTTAACACAACTGGGGACAGACTGATTACAGGCTCCTTTGATCACACCGTGGCTCTGTGGGACATTCCCACTGGCAGGTAACAATCTATTATTCACTTACCTTCTTCCTATCCTATGTTTTTCCTTTACTTATCATATATTTGAATGATATGGGTTTTATAAACCTCTGCAGATGAATCTATACGAAAGTTAGAAAATAGAGGAGTGTGTGCTATAGCTCACTCAAAACATGCTATATTTTTAGTAGAGTTTAGCATTGCTCTAAATGATCTCTCCATGGTCTGTAACAAGTCTAGGTTTTCCAGACCATTCACATAAGAGCCCAGTCCACATACACAATTTAAACAGTGATGTTTTAAATGTATGTTAAAAGCAGGTAATAAATAAAGCAATGCTACGATGGTGCTGTAGTCGTATGATGACTGTGTCACTGATTCAATGAAACAAGACACAGCGTCTACAAACACATTGCAATGATAATGTAAGGATTGATGAGGATTTAAGCATCTTTTAGGGTTCAGGGTTTAAGGCTTTGGGTAACTTTAGAGAAGGTGTTTAGAGTTACATGGCTGCGCGTGATAGGAGTTACACACATTAAAGGCAGGTACTGCTAAACTCTCTTAACCTAATCTCTCCTAACCTTATAGCCTGGGGTACTGTGCATTGCTGATCCATATTTCATGCACTTGTTTAATACTGCTGAGGCCATACAAATGCATCATCATTCGAGTGTTTTCTTATTACATATTCCATGATCCCTGACAGATGATTGCCTTAAAGATAATCATGGGAAATGTAGTCCATTGCTGGCAGGGTTAGCCATAACTGGTTTTGCTTGTGAGTGTGTAAAAAAAAAAAAAAAAAAAAAAAAAAATCATCTGCCAAACAGAATTAATTTATATATGAATACAAAGTAAACATATTTACTTATAATTATCACCCTGTGCACATCAACATCGTATGCATCAAGCCAGCCTCACGCATTATGGTCCATTTGTGGTTACTTAACTGGACATCTTATTATAATTCACATAAAATGTTGCCAGCGTCCTTAATTAATAGTGTGCACACATCCACAATCTTGTGAATCTTACTCGCCTGAATTTTAATAAATATCTACAAACCTTTTTAAATTTAAACTACTGTAAGCCACAGAAGTTTCTGTTTGAAGAATATTAGATAAACACTCACATTAAACTTAGTGGTTCACATTCAGTAAAGATTGCAGTTAATAATGCCTTTTTCAGGTAACTTGTGGTATTCCATGACCGTGTGCAGATAAAACTTATAAAAATATGAGATATTTTTTATAGAAAAACAATAACGCTAATTCTGTTAAATTTCAAACTTTTATGTACGTATTAAAAAGGTAATGATGACAAAAATTGCTTTGAGTGCCTTCAGTTTTACGTTACAAGGCACAGATGTCCTACGTCCTACACGGTGTCCATTATTATTTATATTTAGGCCACTTGTAAGCAGTTATGTGGTTACAAGAGTCTTCTTGACTGATTAGTATACTTATTACATCTCTGGCTATATAACTATGGTTTGAAGGCTTCCATTGGTACTCTGACACTGTATGCTGGGTTGATGTGAAAGTAGGCTTAGTTATTAAACCTCTAGGCATTAGCTAATCATGTTTCAAGCTGATGAGCCTCACTACAGATTAGTGTGGAAGTGGTTGGAATGAAAAAACGTCTTGTATTCATGTTCTGCACTGTCTTAGTTTGACCTCACACTCCTAAATAGGCTACTGGCCTAAAGTGGCATATGTTTGCTGTTTATATAAAGTGGGTAAAGAGCAGACTAGATGCCGTAAGTCATTGATGGGTAACCTTCAGAATTAAGATGTTTTCCAACTACAAAACATCTTCGGAAAAATAGTTGGCATACGTCTGGCGTGCCCATCACAGAAATATGTGGTCCTTTAAATTATATCACCATAGCATCCTTCCTGTCTGCTAGCTATTCTTAATTTAGAATATAATACAATGCTATTAGCCATTGGTGAGTGAAAATGTTGACTTGGCGAGTACAAATTCACCGCTTGTGAGTATGTCATGAACCCTCCAGGCTTGCAGTAGCTAGTGACTTTAAGGGCCTGGCTAGTAGTGTAGGATTTGATATTGAAATTGCTGTATATAGTATTAAATCTTGTCCAGAATTCCTTTACTAAAACACAACTAGCACAATACTGGATCTGATTGTCTTTCTTGCCTTTTTAATATTTCCGTTTTGTATTTGTGCTAAGTGTTTACATAACCCATAATGATCAATATCATTACTATCCTTTCTGTTACTTCTATCAACATTGCTTTAAAGGGACACTATAGTCACCAAAACAACTTTAGATTAATGGAACAGTTTTGGTGTATAGATCATGCCCCTGCAGCCTCAGTGCTCAATTCTCTGCCGTTTAGGAGTTAAATCACTTTGTTTATAAGCCCTAGTCACACCTCCCTGCATGTGACTTGCACAGCCTTCCTAAACACTTCCTGTAAAGAGTCATCTAAAGTTTATCCTTTCTTAATTGTTCTGTTTAATTTAGATTTTCTTATTCCCTGCTATGTTAATAGATTGAGCCTCTTGTATTTGATTAAAGTTCAATTTACAGAGCAAAAGATAAAATTGTTTAAGGGCAATTACATCTGATTGAAAGGGAAACCATTTGTTTCATGCAGGCTGTGTCAGAGTGAGGGGAGGTGTGCCAATGGCTGCATAAACAGAAACAAAGTGATTTAACTCTTAAATGGCAGTAAATTGAGCATTGAAACCTGAGAAACTGCTTCATTAAGTTAAAGTTGTTTAGGTGACTATAGTGTCCCTTTAATGCATTTACTTCATGTGCTGCACCTGCTCATTCAACATAGTTTATCAACTCTCAGGACAGTCACTGGCACTCGAGAATTGGTCTTTTTGTTTGCGATCTGTGCCCTTCAGGTGAATACACAAAAACGGATGTTTATAATAAATCCTGTTCATGTTTTTGTTTTTTTCCTCTACAGAAAAGTTCACACACTCATAGGTCACCGTGGAGAAATCAGTAGTGCACAGTTCAACTGGGACTGTTCTCTAATTGCTACAGCATCAATGGATAAATCCTGCAGGGTATGGTGAAAAAAATGAAACTGCCTTTTCTGGAACATAATATGTGAATTCTCACATTATATCTTTTAACAAAATGAATACGTTTTTTCAAAATTAAGATGTTTGATTGTAGTAGATGTGTAAATGAGGTAATCATCACACTGTTGACATTGATTTTCAACATATAATATTGCATATAAAGCACGTAGATTCCATCTTAAAAACAAAGCCTGCATCCGCCCCTTTCTTATGCAAGATGCTACCAAGGAGCTTATCCATGCTCTAGTAATTTCCTGCATGTATTATTGTAACCTTCTCCTGATTGGTCTTCCCAAAAGCCGTATTGCCCCGCTACATTCTGTAATGAATTCTGCCGCCAGACTGATTTTCCTCTCTAATCGGTCCTCTTACAACTCACCCCTCTGTCAGTCCTTACATTGGCTTACTTTATCCTATAGGAGTCAATTGAAAGTGCTAATCCATACCTATAAAGCACTGAAGAATTCTAGCCCCTCTTATATCTCCTCACAGATCCATAAGTATGCCCCTTCTCGGTCTCTCTGCTCTGCCCCTGACCTTTTCCTGTCCGCTGCTCTCACCCGTACGGCCAACTCATGCTTGCAGGACTTCTTGCGGGTGGCTTCCTTCCTATGGAATAGCCTGCCTATCGCCATCAGACTCTCCCCTAGTCTTTAATAATTTAAGAAGTGCCTTAAAACCCATCTCTTTAGGAAAGCTTAAGGCCTCCCAGAGTAACCTCTACTTTATATACATGTCTCTTGCTCTCTCCTAAAGGCAACATTCTACTCTCTCCTCCAGCTCTGCATCACTTCCACCTTATTTGATTGCTATTTCCTGTTCTAATGTGTTTTATACCCCACCTCCTAAAGACTGTAAGCTCGTTTGAGCAGGGTCCTCTTTAACCTATAGTTCCTATAAGGTTTATTGTAATTGTCCTACTTATAGTTAAATCCCCCCTCTCATAATATTGTAAACGCTACAGAATATGTTGGCGCTATATAAATGGCAATAATAATAATAATGTAATTTTAGTTGGATGCGATCTTGTGAATTGCAGAGCATGTAGCAAATCATGGAACAAGATGATCTTCACAATGGAATTTCCAACAATCCAGTTCAATCGGTTTTGGTAATAGGAATTTAATTTAAAAGGACACTATAGTCACTATAACCATTGTTAAAGGACCACTATAGTGCCAGGAAAACAAACTTGTTTTCCTGGCTCTATAGGGTCTTTGGGTCCCACTCCCGCCGGGCTCTAGGGGGAGGAAGGGGTTAAAGGCTTACCTTTCTCCTGCACCGGGTTCCCTCTGCGCTGGGGACTCGTCTCCCTCTTCCGACGTAATCCACTGAATGCGCATGCGCGGCAAGAGCCGCGCGCGCATTCAGTCAGTCTATAGGAAAGCATTTCCCAATGCTTTCCTATGGACGCTGGCGTCTTCTCACTGTGAAAATCACAGTGAGAAGCGCGGAAGCGCCTCTAGTGGCTGTCAATAAGACAGCCACTAGAGGCTGGATTAACCCTAATGTAAACATAGCAGTTTCTCTAAAACTTAGCTACTTGAGATGTGGCTAAGGCAAATAGTACACATTTGTAGTTATACCTATTCATTCTGGCAATGGGAACGCTGATTGGCTAACAGTAGTCAGCTGACACTCTCTTCTAATCAAAGCTGCCCATTGCTTCTCAGGATAATACTTCCTAATTAGCTCCTGTTTAGCATTAAAACATAAAGATAAAATAACAGTTTTAATGCTGAATGAAAGGACAGCACCAGGGGTCTCCAGACACTATAACTTTTTCAATGAGATGAAGGAGATACAGTGCCTACAGCGTTTTTTTTTAATTTAATCACTCTTGTATTTAATGGCTGAATACCCTATAAAAAGCTAAAAACAGTAATGCGGCATGCCTAGTACATGCCTAGTTTTCCTCTTACAAAAGTTAGATACTGCCAATAGTTCAGATGATGTCAAGGTACCCAATCTTAACTTTCTTGATTGTTAACAGCACTGTCCAGTGGAAACATAGAAACATAGAATGTGATGGCAGATTAGAACCATTCGGCCCATCTAGTCTGCCCAATTTTCTAAATACTTTCATTAGTCCCTGGCCTTATCTTGTAGCTAGGATAGCCTTATGTCTATCCCACGCATGCTTAAACTCCTTTACTGTGTTAACCTCTACCACTTCAGTTGGAAGGCTATTCCATGCATTCACTACCCTCTCAGTAAATTAATACTTCCTGATATTATTTTTAAACCTTTGCCCCTCTAATTTAAGACTATGTCCTCTTGTTGTGGTAGTTTTTCTTCTTTTAAATATGGTCTCCTCCTTTACGTTGTTGATTCCCTTTATGTATTTAAACGTTTCTATCATATCCCCCCTGTCTCATCTTTCCTCCAAGCTATACATGTTAAGATCCTTTAACCTTTCCTTGTAAGTTTAATCCTGCAATCCATGAACCAGTTTAGTATCCCTTCTCTGAACTCTCTCTAAAGTATCAATATCCTTTTAGAGATACGGTCTCCAGTACTGCGTACAATACTCCAAGTGAGGTCTCACCAGTGTTCTGTACAATGGCATGAGCACTTCCCTCTTTCTACTTCTAATACCTCTCCCTATACAACCCAGCATTCTGCTAGCATTTCGTGCTGCTCTATTACATTGTCTGCCTGTCTTTAAGTCATCAGAAATAATCACCCCTAAATCCCTTTCCTCAGATGCTGAGGTTAGGACTCTATCAAATATTCTGTACTCTGCCCTTGGGTTTTTACATCCAAGATGCACATATCCACATTAAATATCAGCTGCCACAACTTTGACCATTTTTCTAGTTTACCTAAATCATTTGTTATTTGGCTTATCCCTTCTGGAACATCAACCCTGTTACATATCTTAATATTATCAGCAATATCATATCTTACCATCAAGACCATCTGCAATATCACCAATAAAAATATTAAAGAGAATGGGTCCAAGTACAGATCCCCGAGGAACCCCACTGGTGACAAGCCCAAGCTTCGAAAATACTCCATTGACTACAACCCTCTGTTGCCTGTCACTCAGCCACTGCCTTATCTATTCAACAATATTGAAATCCAAACTTAAAGATTGCCGTTTATTGATAAGCCTTGTATGTGCAACAGTGTCAAAAGCCTTACTGAAATCTAGGTAAGCAATGTCTACTGCACCACCCTGATCTATAATTTTAGTTACTCAATCAAAAAAATCAATAAGATTAGTTTAGCATGATCTACCTGAAGTAAACGCATGTTGTTTCTGATCTTGAAATTCATGTGATTTTAGATGTGCAACAATCCTATCCTTTAACATGGTTTGCATTACTTTCCCCACTACTGAAGTAAGGCTTTCTGGCATATAGTTGCCCGTCTCCTCCCTACTACCTTTCTTGTGAATGGGCACAACATTCGCTAACTTCCAATCTCTGGGACTACTCCTGTTCACAATGATTGGTTAAATAAATCTGTTAATGGTTTTGCTAGTATTCCACTAAGCTCTTTTAATAACTTTGGGTGTATTCCATCAGGTCCCATTGACTTATTTGTCTTTACTTTTGACAGTTAAAAAATAACCTCTTCCTCTGTAAACTCACATGTAACAAATGACTAATTTATTTTCATCTGTAAATACTGAACAAAAATATGCATTGAGGCAGTCAGCTAGCCATTATCCTCTTCTACATACCTTACTTCTTTTGTTTTTAATCTAACTAATCTTTGTTTTACTTTCCTTTTCTCATTTATGTTTCTAAAACATGTTTTGTCCCCCTTTTTTACTAACTGTGGTAATTTATTTTATGTGTGTGATTTTGAAGCTCTTATAACTTACTTAACCTCTTTCTGCCTAATCTTATAGATCTGTCTATCTTCCTCACTCTGTTTTTTAATTTTTTTAAAAATAATTACTAAATGCTAACGTTTTGTTTTTAACTATTTTGGCCACATCTGCGGAGTACCACAGTGGTTTCTTAAATGTTTTGCTTTTACTGACAAGCCTAATGCAATTTTCTGTTGCCTTCAGCAGTGCAACTTTTAAATAATTCCACTTCTCTTGGACTCCATTTAAACTGCTCCAGTCTGATAATGACGCATAATGACTCACATATTCTAATTTTAGAAAAGTCTGTTTTTCTAAAGTCTAAAACTTTTGTTTTTGTGTGGTGTGATATTATACTGTTCTGATATTAAACCACACTGACTGATGATCACTGGATCCTAAACTTTCACCTACAGTAATATCTGATCTCCATTTGTTAACATTAAATCTAGTATGGCCTCTTTACGAGTTTGCTCCTCAACAACTTGTTTTAGAGGCAATCCCAGTAGGGACTTCAGAATATGTGTGCTCCTGGCACAAGCAGCTATTTTAGTTTTCCAGTTCACATCCGGGAGATTAAAGTCACCCATGATGATAACTTCACCACCCTTCATTGTAATTTTAGCCATTTCCTCAACTAGTAGATTATCTATCTCTTCTATTTGTCCTGGGGTCCTATAAATCACAACTACACGAGTTACTGTGTGATTACCAAATTCTAATGTAACCCAAAAGGACTCTATGTTCACCTCACTAACTTTTTTATAAGGCTAGATTTTATGCTATCCTTCACATACAGGGCAAACCATCTTTTTTGTACAGTTTATTTCCATTCCAAACAGAGCTACCATGAGAAATAAAGCCAAATCCTTGCTCTTGACACCATTCACCAAGCCACAAGTCGAAGTCCCTAATACGTATCCGCCTGTCATTCTGAGCGTTATGCACAGGCAGTACTTCAGAGAATGACAGTGTGGAAGCAACCTGCCGTATATCATTGGCAAAAACACAAAAAAAACTTCCTTTACCTCTGAAACCTCATTGCAAGCCAAGTCATTTGTCCCTAGATAGACAAGTACATCCAATTCCCCTTCCTGCTTTGCTCGCTTAACAATATTACAAATACGAGAAACAAAATGAGTACAGCTCACTATGGTATACTAGAGAAGAAGGGTAACAGTGGAATCAAAAAAGGAAGTAGGAGCGTAGTATACCAGTGTGGAGGTATTGGGAGCACATTTAAAGTACTGAGGATGATAATACCAGTATGAGGCTAGAGAGGGATGAAAACAAAAAATAATTTATTGAAACAAATATCAATATAAAAAAAGGGGGAAGATAGACCCTATAATGTAAATGGTATAAATCCAATATATGCAGTAAAAGCAAACGAACTACCTAAGTAGTAAATCGCAACCCACCAGTAAAAGTTGTGACCGAAGTTTCATAGAAGTTGACTGTATATTGAACTTGCAGTGAAGCTTCTGTGTAAAATGGAAAACTGAAGACACTGTCACATAGGGAATGTGACAGTGTCTTCAGTTTTCCATTTTACACAGAAGCTTCACTGCAAGTTCAATATACAGTCAACTTCTATGAAACTTCGGTCACAACTTTTACTGGTGGGTTGCGATTTTTTTCACCACCCACGTGTACTTAATTGAGCTTGCTAGTGTTATATTGCACATCAGGACACTGTCTACTTAGGTAGTTCGTTTGCTTTTACTGCATATATTGGATTTATACCATTTACATTATAGGGTCTATCTTCCCCCTTTTTTCCTCCCCCCCTCCCCTTCTCCAGTTCTCAGTATATCGTTATTTTGGCTTAGCACAGATGTGTGCTTCAACTGAAAATTATTAGAGGTGCAACTTTAGGATTTTTTTATCCCTTGGTTATCATACCACGTTTGTCATTTAATTATTATTTACTTTAGGTGTTACTTTATTACTTTATTTTTTGTGTGTTACACTTTGGGTGATTGCCAAGTTTTCTGGCAATTTTTAAATATTGATATTTGTTTCAATAAATTATTTTTTGTTTTCATCCCTCTCTAGCCTCATACTGGTATTATCATCCTCAGTACTTTAAATGTGCTCCCAATACCTCAACACTGGTATACTACGCATATTACAAATACGTCTCCTGTATCTGTGAGCAGTAGCTCCGGAAGACATCTCACAAGGCCACTATTGTCCGGCTCCACACCTCTTAAGATAGAATCCCCCAACAACAACTGCTTTCTATCATGCTTTACCTTATCCTTTTTGTCATTGGCTGCAGTCTTGTTCAACTTTGACATAGAACATGGTGGTTCCACAAACTCTGTGCCTGAGCCTGTCTCCATAACACCACTGCACTCTGTGCCTGAGCCTGTCTCCACAACACCACTACACTCGGTGCCTGAGCCTGTCTCCATAACACCACAACACTCGGTGCCTGAGCCTGTCTCCACAACACCACTACCCTCAGTGCCCAAGCCTGTCTCCACAACACCACTACACTCTGTGCCTGAGCCTGTCTCCATAACACCACTGAGCTTGTCTCCACAACACCACTGCACTCGGTGTCTGAGCCTGTCTCCACAACACCACTGCACTCGGTGTCTGAGCCTGTCTCCACAACACCACTGCACTCAGTGCCTGAGCCTGTCTCCACAACACCACTACACTCTGTCCCTGAGCCTGTCTCCACAACACCACTGCACTCAGTGCCTGAGCCTGTCTCCACAACACCACTACACTCAGTGCCTGAGCTTGTCTCCACAACACCACTGCACTCGGTGTCTGAGCCTGTCTCCACAACACCACTGCACTCGGTGTCTGAGCCTGTCTCCACAACACCACTGCACTCAGTGCCTGAGCCTGTCTCCACAACACCACTACACTCTGTCCCTGAGCCTGTCTCCACAACACCACTGCACTCAGTGCCTGAGCCTGTCTCCACAACACCACTACACTCAGTGCCTGAGCTTGTCTCCACAACACCACTGCACTCGGTGCCTTAATCTATGTAACAGTTTTAAAATTGTTCAAAATAAAGAATTAAAAAAACGATGTAGCATGGTAAATATCCTTTTTCTGCTTTGATTGTTGTGTCACTATAGCTATGATATTGCCTGGTATCAAGCAGAAATGGCAATTCATTTTGTCAGGACAATGCGTGTTCAGTTTAACATACAGCAGCTGAGTGCGATTATAGTGTGTGTGTGTGTGTGTGTGTGTATAATAAATGTGTAAAGTAAGCCTATTTTGTCTTTCTGTCTATCTTTATTGATGCTAATATGTATTCGTTGAAGGCAATGCCTCTTCTGTCATCAAACTGTTCACACTGTCTTAGAGGTAATGGCACAGCTGTAATAGCTCAGTGAGTGAGGGTTAATGCTCATTGTCTTGCTTTTTCTCGTTAGTGGCAGCTCTGCAGTTGCAAATTGTAGCTATATAGTTTTATTGACACAGCTGCTTTAGTGCAAACCTAGAATATTTTATGCATCCCAGAGTTAATGGGATGTTAGAATGTGAAACGTGTAGGTAAATTGCAATTTGACTGTTTTCCTTGCAGTTATGGGATCCTCTAAATGGGAAATGTGTGGCCACGCTGACTGGGCATGAAGATGAGGTTCTCGATGTAACCTTTGACTCTACTGGACAGTTGATTGCAACAGCTTCAGCAGATGGTAAGTGAAGCTTTAGAATAGTTAGTATTAACGAAACATTAGGCAACCTAGACCTCCCTTTTGCCAAACCTTGTTTTAGGGGAATGTTTGCTTTAAAGAGATACTAACGGCACTAAAACAACTTAAGTTAATGAAGCATTTTTATTACGTTACGTAAAGTTGTTTTGGTGCCAGGAGTCTCGCTGCTCAATTCTCTGCTATTTAGGAGTTAAATCACTTTGTTTATGCAGCTATAGCCACACCTCCCTGCATGTAACATGCACAGCCTTCCTGTAGAAGCTAGTATTCATCTGGAATAGCTTTCAAAACATCTGTGGCAGGGATGGGCTAAAGGTACATCCCAGGATGTTGTAAAATTGATTCTGCCATGATGCAGTGCCAGTCTTTAGAATCTAATTTTTGGCCAACCAGAACTATGGTGCATAACCATGGCACACCATGTGACTCTTTTCCAGTGCCTGCTTGGGGTTGTTCATATTTGCTGCAGTGCAATAAAGTTTATTGAAATTGTTCATTGACCATCTTATGTTGTACCTTGAAAGGTCTTTAGCCACCTTGCTACACCTGACAAGCACTGTGGCAGAAATATTGTTCGACTTAGAGGGGGTCATTCTAGATGGTGCTTATAGTGGTAACGGTGGTAGAAATAATAATAACTCTGATTTTGTTTAAGGCACCCATTTCTGTGTAGTAAAATTTGAAAATGACCCCATGCAGCTGCATGTGACTCATGTCAGATCTGGATGGGTTTTAGCTTCAGCACTTTCTCCAGAGGAAGTCATTTGTTTTCGTCCAATGCTAGTTAGCATTTCTCCCCATTTGGCCCCATCTCCCAAAATTTTTTTTCTTTTTTTTTTTTCCTGACTGATCATGTCTGAAGAATGAATGATGAGAGTATATACAATAATCATAGCCAAGGTACACAGAATAATCACAATTTACATGAAGGATGTACAGAATCTTTTTTTAGATTGTAAATATATGGATTTTTAGCAGGTTATCTTTGTGATCAATCCTTTTTCTCCTGCCAATTGATGCGTGGCAGATTTATTACAAAAAAATCCACAAAACAGATATGTGATTTTGTGTGACGGCCTATAAAATCATATGTTCACTGAGGCGCAACTAGAATATTTTAGTGATTGCAGAAATTAAAAATAGCTTTCCTTTATTAGATGATTTTGTCATTGAAAGACCACTGACAGATATGTCATATTTTAGACTGTAAAAACCTGATGCAATGAGTTAGCTAAGCACAGCGTGAGAATGTACCAGCAGTGAAGAGGTTAACACTTTGCTGTCATCAGATATGTGCACGTATTATTAGCCATTATTTAGCACTTTTTACAAGTCAATGAGATGAATGATAATTTCCCAACTCAATTCTTTCTTTAGTAAGGAAGAAGTTTTGCATTTGAAATCAGTGTGTAATACACAGACTACCTATGATACGCGCCAATCTTTCTTGGCGATGGTCTGTCACGCAGTTACAACATCAATACTAAGTTCCTGTTCATTTCAACATCATTTTTCCCTTCATTTTTGCCACCTGCAATTGAAATATATTTTCATAAGAAATTAGAATTGTCTCAATTGCTGCTATTCTTGCCTAAAGTTTGCAGTTCCTCGTCCCCTGGTCCATTCTTCACAGTGTCGAGTTTGGTGCATTTAATGTCCACTTTATTAGTTTAACAAAGCACCGTGGGAACATATCAATCAATGCAGATATATTTTGAATTGTGCTTTCCATGACGTTCTGTCACCAATATAACTTACAAATATTCTAGGTCCTCTGTAAACTTCAGACGCAATATATATTTGCCTATGGAATTACTGAGCAACATGGAAATTGTTATTCACAACCATCAGGCTTTGGTTTTAGTTGATGTGCGAAACTCTATTTAATTTGAAACATGTATCAGCCGTGGGAGGCTACAAACCATGTCCATGGACCGCGATCAGCCACAATCTTTTTCTGTGAGTGGGCGCGGTCATTTACTGTCCAGTGTGGGAAGGAAAGGCCTGACCGACATGGGAGTATGTGTTTCATGTATCTATGCAGGGATGTAAATTGATGCTGCCTGCTGTGAAATGATTGAATGGTGCCATGATATTTTCTGTAGGGCAGCCTCTCCGTTATGTTTTGATGTTCATTTGATGTGTATCATTTGTATGCAGCCAGCCCAGTAATGTAACATTTTCATCCTCTCTGCAGTTGTCTGCTGCTTTGGGAGTCACATATGCAGATGATCATTACACAGAGACATGAAACACTTTGACAATTGTTGGGGCAGCAAACCATCACATCAATTCAATTTTATTATCCTTTATCTATGATTAAGGATCATTTTTATCCTGTTATTAGATAATGAAAAGGACATTTTCTGCTTTTTGTTTTTGTTCTGTCAGGGTTTTTAAATTCTATATGTGTAAAATCATGTTGTAGCAAAAAATGATTTCCTTTAAAAAATAATTATCAGACTCCATGCCTTTCAGGGGATAATGCTGAGATATCCTGATGTTAAATATCCATGCTGTCCAGCTTTACGAAAGAACAGAAATATAGCAATGACAGCACACCGTTGGCCCTGCAAATATAATGCACTGCATTTCCCATGATGCTTGGTAAACTGTGTGGGAAATATACTCCACAACAGCTGCAGCACCAAAGTTAGCCATCACTGCCATATAGAATTCAGTCATATCCTGGTGTAATTAGGCAATAGTAAATGATGAAACCATATATTATATCCTATGATTTTTACAAGTAGGCAGAGCCTGACAGATAACAATACTTTGCATGTTGAATCCAGCCTCTGGGCAATCAGATGGACATCTCAGCCGTTTTCTGTATCCTTCAGAATTCAGATTGTCAAGAGAAAAGTATCATACGGCTATGAACCTTGTAATGCATAAACAAAAGAAGGCCATGCTAACACCTTTTATATCTGTGTTCTGCAGGAACTGCTAGAGTGTACAGTGCATCCAGTAAGAAATGTCTGGCAAAGCTCGAGGGACACGAAGGAGAGATTTCTAAGGTGAGTTTCTATCTACTCTCTAGAATCCTGTACCTTTCTTTGTATGTGCTGCAGGAAAGCATGATGGCCACAAGGAGAATTCTAAATGCGTTTTCAGGTTTATACATAATATCCAGTATTCTATTGTATTAAAGCAATTGTTATGGGTACATCAGTCAAAATGTTACATTTTGACAAAAGACCATGATAAAAAAAACAGGGTGTGCATATTTTTAGATATTGCATGGAATAATTTGGGGTGAGGGAGGCTTAAATATCAGGGAGAGGGAGAACATGAAGTATAGGTGCTTGTCGCTGTGACATGTGGCTGTGACCAAGGGCAGATGAGGTTGATGAACATGATTTGTAGACTACAATTTCCAAGAAGCTTTGCTTCTTGTTGGCTACACCTGATATCCTGGATTCATCTCCATGATGTATAGTGATAAAACAGAAGTGTTTAATACCATTATTACAGAACTAGCTATGTATACAGCTCCCAGCAGATAGCCAGTAGAGGAAATGAAGAACAACTGAGAGTCATCCAGTGAATGCTCATCAACGTTCATTTCTATCACCGTGTACCACTTTTAAATTAGTCAAAGATTTTGGTTGCCATTACAGTTTTTCCATGATTTCTACAAATCATAATGATATCAAAGCATTAAAACATGAAGATATATTTATCTCTTTGCTTGGTTTGAGAATATGCTCCATGCACCTAAGTTCACCCTTTCAATGATATACGCTGCAGCTTGTCTAATTGCCACATTCAAAACTTCCTGCATCTTAAATGTGTTTACCTCTACAGAACTTTAAATCCATAAACAATGACCAACTATTCTGTAGAGCATAGATCCCCAACCTGAGCTGCTTCTAGTCAAGCCAGTAAATATTTTAATGCCGGTTAAATCTCAGAAATAAACAGTAGTGGTTCCTAACCTTTTTTGACAGGATCCCAAATTATTTACATGATATTAGTTTGGCAAACTATTTTAAAATTACATTAGAGACCTATTCTTCAGCTGTTATGTGATATAGAGCTACATTAATTTTCATAAACATTTCCATTAGTCTTTTCAGCAACAAAACAGTCTCTCTTGCACTCAAAAATACAACGCGGTTGCTGATGAGTAAGATATGCTTGTTGCAACCTATTGTGGGTCACCGAAATGGCATAGGGACTCAACTTTCAGTCTGACCCAGTAGTTATATACCATTGCACTAATGTAACATTCAAATCTGTGATTGAGATGTTTGGCATTTCAGTTTATGGACAGCATTTGCTTATCGTTGCTTGTTAAGTCCATTATCATGTTGAGATTGTATATATGCCTATGAGCAAGAATGTATACAAATAATATGAGGCATATCCTTGCACAGTTACTGAACCGTGATCATAGCCATCAATTATTCAGACTGACTTCTGGCTCCCCATCGCATTAGTACACAGTGCGTATGTCTGTGTGATCAGCCTACAGCTTGTAGGAACATTTGTAAATGTATGTCTACAAGGTGTTATGGGCAAATGCAAATATTACAAGTTTTAGAATGAAATGTTGTATTTCTTAAACTGTGTACTTTGTCTTTAAGAGATATTGCAAACTGACAAGGTGTTAGAAATGGAACATATTGTTTTTCATAACTGTTTCTTTAAGCAATAACCTCAGTGCATAATATGTTTGCGCCATTTTGTCCCAGACGAATTACAATAACAATAATGCATAAACAAGCTTCAAGCCTATACTACGACACTTGCAGTACACAATATACTGTGGTAACCCCAAGTTAATGGAACTTCCCCAAATCCTGGAATCTCCCACTACTGTACACTTACGACTTAGTATAAACAACAGATAACCTATTCAGACTTTAAGATGCCATCTTGAACTAAGTCAGGAAAATTTCCATGACGTTTGCACCCTTTAGTTATGGCCTTGTATGTTTGCCAAATTAAGGGAGGTCCTAAAATGAATAAAGTAAATGAACTACGGCAACCCTAAACTGGAGACACCTAAGGTATAAATAGGTGTACTTTTAAATGTTAACACACAGAGGAGAGACTTGGAGACAGACGCTGCTCCATCTTAAAATGACAGAGAGGCTGACATGATGACATGTTCAGAAGGGTATGTTAACCTATTAATGATATTTGCAAGCATGTAATTTAATCTTATAAACTCTGCTATAATGGATTTTATATAATAAATATCCAAAAAAGACAAAACTATTGCTTCCAAGACAATCCTTATTTTATATTGTATTCTCAATTATTTATATATGTTAAATAGAGGATCTCTTACACTATATAAAATTATGGCTAAGATATCTGTATGGTTAGCCCTACTAAGTTCTATGCTTTAAGACATTATAGTGGTAAATAAGGGAACCACATGCGGTTACAAAGGCTTGCTGGATATAAGTGCTACCCCGACTGTTACTTGAAAAATAACTGGTGCCCAGCTTATGCTATGTAAGAAATCAGTAGAATTTCGCTTAAAGTTATTTTTTTGTTTTGTAATTGAAAGGTGTGTGTGTGTGTTTTAAGTATACTAAGTTATGAGTTTCTTCCTGAAAGCTGTGTAAAGTCCCACATAGCCAGAACAACCACTGCCTGAAATTGAACTGTTTAATTAAAGTAGCACCAGGCTGGGATATGTATTACGGATGGTCCTTACACTCAGTCTTAATATGCTCAAAATGTTGCTGGGAGCCAGTCCCTGAGGCACAAATAAGTATACAAAAAGATGGGGCTGCCCTCACGGTCTTCAGGTAAAATACTTCTTCATTTAAATCAACATTCCAGGGTGATCGACGTTTCAGTCCCCTGCTGGGATTTTCTTCAGGATCAAAATAACTTGTTATTCAGAACGTAATTTTTTTTTGTGTGTGTGTGTGTGTGTGTATGTATGTGACAATAAATCTTCTGTTTATTACAAGGTGTATAAATTGCATTAACAGTCTAGGATCACTGTGAGTTGCTGTTAGAAGCCGAATGCCACTTTATGGTTCATATTAAAATAGAAAATGTCATGCGCCTTAAAATCTTTGCAGGTTTATCAACCATGCTTTTTTTAAAATTTCTTTTCACTTTTGATTATATTTCTATTACAAAGATTTCATTGTATTTAATGAGATTCTTCTTTTCAAGCTAGAGAGCAAAATCTTTTATGACACAACTTCTAATTTAGCTTGAAATATTTTCTTGATTGAACATACTATTGCCTCACAGATGACACACAAATGAGAGGTAAACATACAGATGTATATGGTGTAAGGCACAAATACATACTTTCTCTATTGCCATCCCCACCAGTCACACGTGTGACTCTCTGTTGAACTAGATTTCCAATTTTGCTAAATCACTATTAAAGCCCCCAAGGCCTCATAAGAATTGTAGGTCTGCAGTAGTCTTAGTGTTTCGTATTGGACTCAGTCTGCTTATATTTTTAAAACATAATACAGATTAAGGAACTTTGCACTCATAAAATACATTTCTAAATTCTACAAGCTACTTAAAATCTTAGCAAACAAATATGGGCATTCAGCTTCACCATATGGCCATATTGTGTTAAAGGGACACTTTAGGCACCCAGCCCACTTCAGCTCTTCGAAGTGGTCTGGATGCAGTGTCCCTATTGCACCTAGTGCTGGAATGTTAAACATTGCAGTTCTAGAGAAACTAAGTCTGTCTCCAGTGGCTGTCTACCAGACTTTTGGTCTGGTAAATGAACGTGGATGTCCCTGGATGATAAGGGTAAAAAAAAATCCCCCACCCCACTTGCAAATATGATAGGTACTCAACTGTTACAGGAGATATCCATAGGCTAGCTAAGATAATTCCTACACTAGATGATACGAATCAGCAGCTACTGATTGATTCCATTCTTTAGGGATAGTGGCTATGGGTTTGTATGCCTTGTGACTGTGCATAATCAGTGGTACTCTGTTATAGAGTGACCTGTTGAAGGTAGCAGGGTCATGCTAATTCAACTTGTTACCATGTGTATTTGCCACTTAGTAGGTTCATTTAATAAGATAAAGGTTGTTGATTTAGGGATAAGGCATTTGTCTGAGTGCATTAATAACAATGTACCCATGTGTTCCAGGCTGTCTACTGATGTCTACTGATATACATAACCCAGTAATCTTCTCCCTCTGCTTCCAGATATGCTTCAATCCTCAGGGGACCCGTATATTAACAGGCAGTTCGGATAAGACCGCACGGCTCTGGGATCCCACCACAGGGCAGTGTGTGCAGGTGCTGGAGGGACACACAGATGAGATTTTCTCTTGTGCATTCAACTATGAGGGAAACACAATAATTACAGGTAAATCATTCTCCTGGGCATGGAAATATTGCTTGGCATGTCTGGACACGTGCAGCTTTTCATCATACAGTATGTGTGAGAGCTGCACTTAGTTACTGGGCTATTTCGGCTTCAAAGAAAACTCCTAGGGTTTTTTTATTTTTTATAAACACGAGTATTAACCACATATATTCACTTTCTGTAATGTAGTTAACTTATCCAACAGTAATCTTCTTTAGTGTTTACGGAACCCAGCTTTTAGGCATTTAAATGCATAGCAGAGATCATAAAATAGTATTGGGTGACACAGAGGCACACTGCGGTACACACAATTCCACTGATTAGAGGCAATAAAATTCCTTTCTTAGTAATTATTTTTGTCTTGTGTTATTTTCTTTATATTTAATGTCTAATAATCTGTCTATGTAGCACATGTTGATTAACTCTTTATTTGTCCCACTTTGTAGTTTTTTTTGTCTTTTAATGAGAAGCATTAACAGTGTTTTGCGTTATCATGCTGTGTGCGATGATGCCAAACTTGAACACTGGTTTTTGAAGGTCTTAAAGGAGTCCTGTCACCCCAAATTAAAAAAATAAAATAAAATATTAACCCTTTTAAAGTATTGAAATGAAATCGATTTAAAAAAAATCAAGTATATGTAAAAAAAACAAGACTTATCCCTACCTTCAGTAATTTAGGATCAAACAGTGTTTGAAAACCAACTGTTCGTCTCTATGGTATTCCCTGCACAGAAACAGAGAAAACTATAAAGACTAACAGTTGGTTTTCAGGTGCACATGTATGGCTGAATGATGCTGTCATATACTAAAGGAAGGGAGTAGTTTTTCCATTTTTTTCCCCCCCATTTTCTTTACATATACTTCATTTAATAAAAAAATCTATTTTCTTTCAGAACTTGGTGAAAATATCATTACATTAAAAAATAGTGTTGAGGTGACAGTCGTTCCTTAATAATTACAGGGCTGTATTCTGGCAAACATCAACATTTCCTTTTCTCGTAAACAGCAATGTTTTACATTGACACAGAAGAGGAGACTATACATTAAAACCACTTCATTAAGATGTAATGGTTTTGGTGTTTAGAGTATCTCTTTAATGAGTCATTACTGTGTGTTAATAGATCACATTGTCTGTCTGATACTATTATACTGTCTGATCATATCTTTTACATGTATTTGTGGTATAGGCTCTTTGCAAGCCATCATGTTATATTTACACATATTCAATCAACTACTTATTCTTTATAACCTCCAATGCATGTTGTGTGTCTGTAGGCATAAACTGATCTAAAAGCAAAAGCTGATCCTCCCTTTATTTCTCTTTTCCAGGAAGCAAGGACAACACTTGTAGAATATGGCGGTAACTGGAAGACCTGCAATTTCCTAAAAAATAAAATGAACCAAACTGATTGGGATTCATGTTAAACAGCATTACTCCAGCACTCAGTAACAAGTGTACGTGATGTCCTCTACATGTCATTTACTACCACCATGAATTAGTATTAGTAGATAGGTTTAGTACTAACTCGTTAACTGGAATTAGATTTCTGACTGTAGAATGATTAGGATGTACTTGCACAGTTCATTGTGTGCCTTGTATTTTTTTTATATTTTAATAAATGTTTTTCATCAAAACAATGTGCCTTCAAAAAACAGAATGAAAGTCCTTGTGGTTTATGAACAGTAAAAAAAAAATGATTATACAGAGTAAAAAACTGATAACATTGGTCAGTATTAATTATGGTATCCTCTACAAAGATGCATGGCATTGAACTGCCCGTTTGTAATGTTCAATGTGCACAGCTGTTTATTTAAAGGAACAATAGATTTTTGTATTAAAAATAAAATAAAAAAAATTTCCTTTTATTTAAATTTTTTTCAAATGTTCTATAAAACATTTCTGATTAATGGATGTTTTTGCTAAACAAAAAATGACGAAATAACAAGAGCTGCAAAATTACAGTTGATGAGTTTTTACAAATTAGGTTTTGGACTACAAGTTGTGAGTTGGTTGCAACTCATTAGTGAATAGCTCTCTCTGATATCTTAGATTTCCTGATGGAGCCAGTTCATATGCTGAAGCTGAGATGTAAATACTTTAACCACAGATCTCATAGAAGGGTTGCATTGAGGACAAACACAATACAAAACACTCTAAGTCCCACGCTGCTGATCCATATAAAGGAAGGCTTTACTGATCTCGTAAAGGTAGAGATTTACTGTACCAAAATGGCTGGCTGTAAATTCCCCATTGAAAACACAATATTCTATTAACTATTCATAACATAGGTTTTATATATTCGCTACCTGTACGTTTTACAGTCTCTGAGCCCCCAAAATAATCTATAGAATAAGTACAAAGAAGATAGATCGAGAATAGAGATGGCACTCCACATCCACAGAAGGGTAGGGAACCTTTTCACTCGCAATGCATTTTATAAAGATCCAGGCTGCCAATCCCACAATAGATATCATTTAAGCCCCAGTAAGGGCTTTTCTCAAACCTTTATTTAGGCAGAAACATTGTGTTTGAGTTACAAATTAAATTGCTGTTTTTTGATTTTGTGTGTGCTAGATTTATTTTGTATTAGTTATGCTACATTGGGATCGGCTCTTTAAATCTTTTTCATCGTCAATCATCTTTATCATTTTTAATTTCATTTACCAAAACTATAGTAATTTGTTCCTTATGTTTGCAGTATTGGTAACAATTATTTAAGGTTCATCTACTTTCAACATAGAAACTGAAATCCTATCAATGTAATAGGGAACATTTAATCTGCCCATTATAAACCCCATCTTTGGCATTGTCATACATAACATAGCATTATACATTGCATGATTGCATCCTTTACTGTATTAAAAGGGAACTGACACATCTGTTGGCTTTACACCATTGAATAAAATATTGAAACCATGAAATAACTTCTATTAACATTCTGTTTATGTCCTGCTCCATTTCTTTTTAAATTGTATAGATTTAGCAGTTAACATCACCTTCCAGTCCATTCCTGGCACAGCCATGGCATATAAATCTTTGTTAAAAATCATTTAAAGCGTCCGTTCCCTTTTAATGACTACAACCTCTGCTGAAAGTTTCTATAATGTATCAACCACATTTCACTAAACTGTTGTATTTTAATATTAAATGAAAGCCTTTCATAGTAATTTGAATCTATGACGTCCTAATATTTCACTTCTCTGGAATATACTTCCATCCTGTACTTGCCATTGATACCCCACTTACTTGGATGGGCAGGGCAGTACATTGTGTCAGAGACAAGGTGAAATATACAGGATGAATTCAGAATAAGTGCCTTGCACCACTGCGCACACTTTTTACTCATTACTAAATGATGGCGTCTATTGAAGTGAGCAGCCATAGAACTAATGTAAATCATGAAAACCAGTCATTCAGAACATATGTTGAAGGTTTCCCTGCTCCCTAGTCCATGGAGGTCTTTCCATTTCATTAACAAGCTTGTTCCTTTCTATCGCAGAATCCCCCAGCTTGTTTACAGAGTAAACATCACCATTGAACACACAATATTTTGTTAAGCTGTTGCCACATTTGCAGGAATAATATTATGGTTTCATTGGAATAAATGCTATTGCCTGCTTCTTTGGTATTGTGTTACTCCAACAATAACCCATTCTAAAATGATAAATAAGCATTACCTGTCTATTTAATGTGCAATGCTATTAGGGATGCACGTATAATGCACATATAATTCAAATACTTGGTGATGCCTGGTATGATGAAATGAATAGGAAATTATATGGTATGGTTAATGCACCTATCTTCCAGAGAAAAGGGAGGCCTTGTAGAATGTTTTTGTCATATACCCCCAAAGGAAACATGTAGATGAAAATACTTGCATGTTTTCATTTTAGGGGAGAGGGGTATATCTACAAATTTGTTAATTTTTTTTATTTTTTTTATTACATATCATAATCACTGGATTTCGAATATTTACCAATTGATCTACTGCACCCTCTTTCATACATCCCATCCATCCATTCTCTGTATCCGTTCCTGTAATATATAAATTATAAAAGTTAATTTCAATGTTTTTTCCTACCATGATCCATTGATCTATTTCTTACACCAGACATCTATGAGATGACCGTCCTCCCCACCCCCCATACAAATGCATGTGAAAATAGGCCATTGCATAATAAACACACCTTAACTCAGTACAGTAGACACATAACATTTATTAATATTACTTTATCTGCAATACTTACACCCCAGGTGAATGCAGAAACCAAATCACTAATCTTGCACTCTGGTTTTCCACTGAATGACAACTGAAAAAAAACAAACGTTCTTTCTCCTTTTAAAAGTGATGAGTACAAAGAAATGCATGTGAAAAATAAATGTCCAAATCCTGGCAAAACAAAGAATTAATTGGACTTCAATGCTGAGACCGTGATCTCCCGCAGTGAGTCTGCAATTGGTGACCATTTTGCTGTTGAGATGTAGAGATAATGAATGTGTTTCAAGTCTGTCCAAATCATTGATTGTACTTTTTAGGTTTACCTCCAAGCCGGTTTATTTATTTCTCACAATCTGAGTGCAAGCTCTGTAGAAGTAGATTATTAAAGGTAAGCTTTGGCATATCTGCAATAAGATCATACCTCCCTTGTAACTAAGAACAGAAAGTGAATGGATCAAATTTGGACCTCAACTTAATTATTTTGGATAAGCTTTTCACATTATCACAATCAGTTAGAATACCTTTTCAAATGATTTATCTATACAAATCCCCATAGACTTTAATGGTTACTATTGTAGATAAATAGTTTGAAATTTTTTTTTTCTCACAGATCACTTGACAAGTTTATCTAAAATAATTTAATCGATGCCTTGGTTGTCTAAGCAATATAGTCCCACATACATAAACATATTTCATAATTAAAACATTTTTTTTTTTTTGGGAGGCCTTGTTAGCCAAGTAGAGAGATGAGTGGAATTAACTCTCAATTATCAATGCTGCAGGGAATAACATTTAATAATTATAAAAATAGAAAAAAAAAATCCACTTGTTTCTCTACGAATTCAGAAAATGTGTAAATCCCTCTTCCTCCCCCCCCCCCAAAATGAAAAGAATATATACCAGATTAATTTTAGTTAGGTGAGTGCTGATATGCCCCTTTGATGGATCTGTACAGCAAACTATGGCTTGTTTATATGAAGGCAAAATGGCACACAATAAAATAGGATACACAGAGTACAGTGAGGCAAATTCATTTGTGATGTATGCTCTCACACTGTTAAGAAGGATATGGTCAAATAGAAAAACAGAATCTAAATTTGGTTATTTCAAATTCTACTATATCTTGGCTGCTTTATATTTTTGTTGTCGGGCAGCTATTCTTGCATTGCCAAGGGTTAAAGAAAGAAACAAATAATACGTTTAATAAATTTTAATAGACTTGCATCATGAAATTGTTTTGCCAATGGGTTTTTTCCCAGCAAAAAAAAATCATTCTTAATATACAAATTGTGCTCATTGGTTTCATTGCTCTTCTCCCTTACTCTAAAGGGGTTAAATGTATTTCGCTCAGGCAGAGTATCCAAGTAATTAGTGAACATGGCAGTAAACTGGATTGTGCCAATGGTCTGTTTCGTGAATCATGATGTTCAAAAGTAATTTGTTCAGAAGCAAATTGCAGAATGATATTTTCAAAGGAATTATCTGGAAAATTTCATTCTGCCAGTGTAATGAGTCTAGTCTCCCAATAACTTGTGCTCAGTAACTCAGTCATTCTATTATAAACTATAACATTTCAAATAATGCCTCCTATATCATTCCAGCAAAACCATATTATTATATTACTTGGTAATATATCAGATATTAGATTGTGTAACCTCTGTTTTTTTCACAAGCTATTTAAACTTGTTGGCACCATTTAACATTTTTAAAACTCTATTTTAATTTAATTCGTTTATATCATTGTATCACCTGTATGCTCACTGCTCTTTCCACTTTCAGTATCTAACGAAGGACTATAATTTTGACAGACCCATTTTATGTCACCGAACTTCAATTTATAGGGTTTCTCGTGGAGAAGCCATTTTTGTTTATGAGAGTACCACTGAAGTAGCATAAATTTGTTTCTTCTTTTTAAAACGAAAGCCGTCGTCATTTCCTTCAAAGATTAACATCATATTAATTATGCCCAAATTTATACTTTCTTCATGTGCAAGATCACAGATTTACATATGTATAGATGACTAGATGTGGCCTTATTTTGGTTATTTTGTAGTAAATAATAAAATACTGTAACTGCACATGAAATAAATCTGTGTATTGCAGATAGTTAACACACACCAATTTGTTGTATAGTTTTTTCTGTATATTTATTTTTCTTTGTCCTGGTTATACTGAACATCCAATACCCATAATTCAGTTTGTGTTATCAATGAAAAGTTGTGACATTAATAATTATGGGACAAAGATCTAAAAGTGGTTCAATCATTATGAAAAGCACTGAGATATTTCTGCCGATCCTTCTACATTTAGCACAGAAATGCTCTTTATAAATAAATCCCATTAAATCACATTCTCCTTACACTCAAATTTCTAAGTGATAAAAATTAAAATTCATAGATGACAATGCACCAAGAAGCCCATCCATCACAGTCCTTCATAGTGTGTACCCGCTAAATGCCAGGTTTGTGCCATTTTTGTTTTAATTAAGTTATTTAGTTCAAAGCTCCATCATGATAGGCTCAAATATGCCCACAATCCCAACTAAACTGCATTAATATGGGCATTCCATTGAATATATACATATATATTTATACATACTAGAAAAATATTAAGCACGGCCCACTTGCCTAAAAAACTGTAGTCTAATACATTCTAAATATACAATCTGTCAATCCTATATCTGTCATTGTACAATAAAAGAAAAAAAAAAAGCAGCAGTCAGTTTTTTGTGACGATGAATCGTAGAAACTCAGGAGTTACGCAGGTTCCCATAGCTGTCCCATGCTTTGAGCTAGACCTGAAGGTTCCTTATCCCTTTTCCAAAAGCCAGTCAAAAAAGCTGGGGGGCACTTTGCTCCCTTGTTCCTGCATCTTGCAATGAAGCATCAACGCGCTGAAAATATCTCCCACCTTCCAGGATTTTGCTTGAACTAAGTGCATGACTTGAAGGAACTGTAAGGGGATGAGCATTGACAAAAAGAAAAACAGACAAAAATAAAAGTGCGTGGAGTGATGCGGTAGTGGTTGAAGAAGGGTCAAGAGATGAGTGGTATTATGTAAACAATTAAGACGTTATAGAAATTGGAATACGGTTTGACAAACATAAAGGGTAGAGGACACCCAAACATGTAGAGGGAAAAAAGGGTAATGAGGACAAAATCCAAAGCGAGTAGAAACGGAAGAAAAGAAGGAAACAAAAACAAAAAAAATAGCTGAAATGTCTTATTAAGTTAATCATAATATACACATAATATAAAAGAGAAAATATGTTAAACACAATTCAAACAAAGTTTTTCTACCATTGGAAAACAGACATATTTGTTTAATATGCAGAATGTGACACAAGTTAAGTGGTATTTTAATTCCACTTATTATATAAATGTTTGTTTTCACTTTAAAGTATCACTGAACTCCCTTGAAGAATCTCTCACAGGATAGGAATAGGAACAAAGAAATCTTCTTCAAAAAGTTGTATATTTAATAAATTATCTTTGTTGGAAACATCTCGAAACATAGGTTGTAGGTAAGAAAAAGTAAATTTGTGGCTGCATATGTAATAAAGCCAGACATAAGAAGATATAGTGGGAGCTTTTAATTTGAAATCACAGCAGTAGCACACATACAGAACAGGGCTAAGCTAACTTTATTGTGCCATATTAAAATATAGATTACAGAAAGCACAGAATCAGATACAATGATAAATAGCAATTGAAAGCTGCACTTTTAAGACCTCTTTGGTTTAGCTGCACTTTAATCGGTTGTCTTGATACCCCAGGATGCAATGCATGTAATTTGAATGTAGATATATGCCGGATTCAAATAAGAGATTGGTAATGTCTGGTTCTCTCTGGTTCCAAATGTAATATTATGGGGTACGTATCAGTACAGATGGGAGTGATGACCAGATGTGTTTTACAGACCTGGCCTCCATTTTTAGGGTAAAAGGGTAAGACTCGTTAGAACCTCGAGTTCAGCTGTATGGAGTCATTACCCTGTGATAATACCCAACTTGATTAGTGATAGGTACTGGGATTTTTAGTCATCAGATGCGTACTATGAACTGTGGAAGTGTATCACAGTATTCTATTGTCAAGCCAGTCACTAGCCAGAGAGTGGTTAATTGTTACATTCATCGGAGTAATTGCCTAATAACTAATATTGGATTACTATTGGTAGATAGAGGATCCCCTACTCTGTTAATGAATAGTATTTACACCGGAATTATGCACTCTTTTGTTCCATGAGTAATGAGTATGCAGCCATTTACCCATCTTTCATACAAACAGAGAAAGATAAGGGATATTTACTAGGCATTTGTTGCATTTGTCTTTAGATTAATCAGTTTGCCTGACAAGAAATCAATTCGTCTGAAACAAACACCTTACTATTAGTTTTTTTTATAATGAATGCATTGTTTTAGCTTTTGTGATTCGTTGGGTTGTTTTCCCCTGGGCAAAAGGTTTTTTTAAGACAAATTGATTTGATGTCTAAAATTCACTAAGCAGAGTTTAGGGGTCAGAATGACCTTGGAAAATATTTCCATGTAATATGACATTATTATTATTTATTATTTTATTACATGAAGTTTGGATAATATTCTGTTTTATTCTATTCTGAACTGAACGGGCTTCTTCTCCTGCTTGTCGCAATGATTTACCGACAAGTCAGAAATTGCTATAAGGTAGTTGCAATCCTTAACGATTACGGCTGTTTCCAAAAACATTTAAGAACTGGTAATTGGCAACCGAGTTTCCAAACGTTTCAATGCTTCAAATTGACATTAATAGGAGATGCTAAAAACAAATACGCATCTGGTTTTCATGGTATACGTTAAAAATAACTACCAGTCACTATCTGACTAAAATAACAATTTCAGAGGAAAAAAACAAGTTACTGACTGTAAACTATATCATACATGAGAAATATACATGTATTCTACATTTACATATGTCAGACTTTTTACAAGCATTGTGTATGTAGTTTTCAATGAACACCTTTGAAATGTGGCTTGTCAACTAAATGAAAACACCAAGGGCAGTTTGCTCTTCCACCTGCCAGTAGTTTGTAACCACAAACATCTTAAAGGGACACTTTAAACAACAGAATCATTACAGCGCAAAGTAGTGGTTCTGAGGCAAGTAGCCTGTCCCTGCTGCCTGAGGTTTGTAAACTTTGCCTTTTCTGAGAAAAGGCAGTGTTTACATCACTGCTTATGACCAGCTCTAGTGACAGTCAATTGGACAGCGACAAGAGTGACTTAATAGATAAGGTCCAAAGATTGCAGGATTTATGTTCAGTGTCAATGCTGAACACTCCCCATAGAGATGTTAATTGCCGCGTCTGTGTACTACTTGTGGGAAGCGGAGGCTTGGCGACTATGGCGAGTGAGGAAAGTTAGGTAAACTGTTTTCTTTTTTAATTAATTGGGAAGGGGAATCTAAATAGAAAGCATAAAACTTTAACATGTTTTATAGTGCTCCTTTAACAATGACATGCATAGAAATTAGTCCATGACAGTTATTTTCTTAAAATGAGTCCAAGACAGCACAAGACACTTAATTTCTTTTGATCTGGACAAATTGAAAAGTTTTGAGAATAGAGAATTGGGAATTCACTACAGTTACTTACAATCATTACACATATCACACCTGGCTAGTGTGCACTAACAGTACTAGATATCATACCTTTTGAACCATGTGCTCCTGGGATTTCTTAAAGTAGATGGCAGGTATTCCAAGCTCGGATGCTGCAATCCACTGCAAAGTTGATCGAA